GGGGGGGGGGGGGGGGGACTAGCTGCGCAAAAGCGCACGCGTTATCCTTGCTGGGACAGCTCGAGCTCCTCGGGCAGCACAGCCTCGCATTCCTCGTCCTCGTAAGCCGCCCAGGATTTCGGGAAACCGATACCGCAAGGCCGCTTCTTCGCCAACAGCTTCCTCACTCTTTTCCGCGTCGCCACCAGGAGCAGAAATATGACAAATCCTTGAAGACCATTCAACAGGTCCGTCGGTATCCTGGCGAGAGAGTAGGGTTCGTTCGGTTATGTTAGCCAGCAAACTGATCGTGGCAAAACAACCTTAGTACGCGATGTAATTAAGTCGTTACACGGTAAAAAATGTGGCGTCATGTTCAACAAGTTTCAAATGTCCCAAGCGGTCCACGCAAATTTCTGTGTTAATTCAAGACGAATATGTTGGAAAGCAACACAAATATTTTTAACATTTCTACCCTTAGGGAAATGGTCACTATTCTGGACATTCATTTAAAGCTGCCACAGCGACAGATTTTTTCTTACTGATTTGACATCCCCGCTTCTCTGGATAATCGGTAAATAATAATAAATCAAACGCGCACGTGTACAGTCCGAAAATTCGAACGATCAGATAAATTCTAATCGCATCGCGTGCTGAGGCTGTTATTCTGCCGGTTAATGTATGCTGCACACGAGGCGTACAACAAAGATCACCCACCAGAACTCGTCCATGTTCGTGTCTACGGCGAACGATATCACCTCGAAGATCCAGGTGATGCCCATGACGAGCACCAGCTTGATGTACAGCAAACATTTGAATCGTAATACTCGCAGCTTGCTGCCCGTGTAATCGCGATACTGGTGCCACAGACGCCAGCTGGTCAGCCCAAGATAGATAATGTTCAACGTTAGCAGAATAGCGACCGGCCCGTAAAAGTACGCCCACGTCTGCCTGGCGCCTGCGGAGAGTACAATTGCCGCGTTTTACTTCGGCCGTCGCGGGGTCGGTTCTCTCGCGTGAATCTTTCCGCGGAAAGAAAGGCGGTAGAAGTGCAAAATTATTCATCGCTGTTCGACTCACCGCCGAACCAACAACTGGCGTCACCGAAGCCGGGCTTCAGGTGATGACCATCTATTAGATGCATCGTCAGCGCGGCGATCAAGAAACATGCCGGGCCACCCCATCCCCAGACGCAGTAAGAGTAGAAAAGCGACTGCTCCCTCACCCTGAAGTTCTTGAACCTGTGCACGGAGAAAGCGAAGTTTGCTTGAATCGACCTGAACGAAGCGAACGAGGCGAACGGCTGAAGGAAGCGGAATTTCTGGTTCTTACGCTCCCGGTCGTCTTATTTTATGACGTCAGAAGCGAGCTAAGGTATGCTCAAAATGCTTCNGGGGGGGGGGGGGGGAGTCTTCTAAAGATCCGATTCAATTCTCACAATGGGAAATTCCGTCCCCTCCAATCGAAACGAGTTCGATTCGTTCGTTATCAGGTTAATTCAATCAAGCTTTTTCGGCGTGACCGGAATCGGACGACGTCGAGTTTCGATCGACACTTACCATACGGCGCGCCACACGTTGAATGCCACGATGTTCAGCCAGAAGAACGCGGACATGAAGGCGAAGTACAGGATGAAACCTGGAAAACCGTCGGACGAAATCGCAAGGATAATCGGCGACGAATTTCTGTGTCTTCGTATCGCGCACGGGGAAAGAAAAAAAAAAAGGATCAGTTGAATGAACGTGACGGCGAACGAACTAAGCGCGTTTCGGCTGAAGGAAAACAGGATTTCCGCTTCTTACAACTGAATTTGGCTCATAAGAGTCGGAAATTCCGTTTTCCTTCAGCCACTACGCGCTCGGTTCGTTCGCCGTCACGTTGATTCCAGCCGATCTTTGTTCCTCGCGCGTGAACAAACATCGCGTGATTATCTACCGAGGGTGACGCAGATGTTGTAATCGCCGTTCATCGTCGGCCGCAGGTGCTGGACCGAGAGGACGGTGTAACTGACCGCCAGGGTGGTAACCGCGGCCATCATCGCCTTGTCCTGAAGCTCCCTCAGTTCCGGCAATATCACGTAAACCGCCAAGGTGGCGATGAGGAAGATGGCCGAGATGATGCTGACGATGCATACCAAGATGTTCTTCCACACCATCGGGGAACCGTCGTTTATCAGGTCCTCGTCGAAGCATGTCAGGGCGATGTCGTTTCTGCTGATTCGTTTCGACTTGGTGACACAGAACCTGATGGACGGATACGCATCACGATAAATAAGAGCGGAGGAAATCGAAACGCGACGGGACCCGCATCGTCGATCGATCTTCCGGAGAAAAAACGATCTTTCCTTTTTTTTCATTTGTGGCTCTTGTTACTTTTTGCGGGCCTAATGAATTCGGCCACACTCGGAAGCATGTGTGACTCTGACGTAACGCCCTGACTGTTACACAAAGATTCTGAGAAAACGTGGAAAATCATCCTGACGTTAGAAAATGTGCACGTGCGACCATTATCAACAATTAATAGGCAATAACGCGGCCATTACTTCAGGACATCGCGAGATATACGTTGTGGGGAATACCCAGTAAGGCAAGATTTTCCTCATGTTCCCGATATTCGGCTACTTCCGAGCATTCATATTTTTCGCGAATTTTTCGCGAATTTTTCGCGATATTTTCCGCGAATCGTCGTTCGTGACCGGCCGTTTAACAGAAAACTGCCGATAAAGCTCTAACCAATAACCACCGATAAACAAAAAATCTCACATGTCTGCCGGGATCTTAAGGTCATCGACATGCATGTGCAGCCACGCGGTAGTATCGTCATGATGAATAGAGAAGTTGTCCCGCTCGCTCAGTTCAGGGTCGATGATGAAGATGCCGAACGGACAATCCAACTGGATCCTTGAGCCGTCCGAGCAATTGGCCGAGCGTTCCCATACCGTTCCTTCGGGGCAGCAGGAGGTGTCGACGAAAGAGAGACTCGGCGAGACCAAGCTCGCGAACAGTCCGAGCCACAGTAACCAGAGGCAACCTGCGAAACGTTGCAATCCGGATCGCGTGAATGCGAGAGGCAATGTGGAAGAGAAGAGATTGAGAGCTTCGGCTCGGCGTAACTTTGTATTATTATCACATACTGAGAACATTTTTTTTTAATTTATCACTGTAATCGTATAAATGGAAGAATTATAGTCAAGAGAACCATTTTTCTAATGTTATTACAGTGTCAGCGATAATAATCTTTTATGCAAGTTGTTATGTAACAATGTTTTTTGGGTTAAAGCCAGAAGAAGATATAGCTGAGGCTGAAAATAACTATAATTTTAGTGGAATTTCTCTCTGAGTGTACTATTAAGTAAACGGGGAAGAAACAAAATGTTCTTACTTTTGAAAGAATAATACAGATGTATTACATTTGCATGTGCCGCGCTAAAGAGAAAATTTACAATTTTTACAGCAAAAAAATTGTTAAAACAGGAATCTATTTAATCTAATTCTTGAAGAAGCATTGTAATAATCAATCAATGATGTCGGATTTCTCATTATCCATGAGAATTTATTAGCTATGAAACTTCTCACTAGCTATGAGAATAAAGTCTCATTAAATATGCTCAAACGATTAATTACCCTAAACTTCCCATGAGAACTTATATAAAGACGACGGTCGAGAGAAGACCAGGGTTGGGAAAGTAAATTTGAAAAGCTGTTCGTCACCATTATCGTCATTCAACAAGGAGAAATAACTTCGTTATTAAGTCATTAATGAAAAAAATGTTAACTGCGTTGCGAATAATTCATTGTTTCTCAATTCCGGAAAAGACATCATAAAGATCGAATAATCAATTGATTGTGCAGCAAGTAATTTGCCGGCCAAGTAACCAATCGAAAGTCGACGAGTAATCGGCTCGTTGTTTGCATCTTCAATTGAAAAACAGCGTATTTTTAGCGAGTAACTAACATTATGTGCGCATGATTTCATCAATAACCGTACGACGCTCGAACGTCCGGAGTTGGGAAAATCACGAAGAAATAATAATACAGCCGCGTATTATCCCGCAGAAAAATTGCGTCACAGCTAAATAAACGCGGGTATCGATAAGGGGTTATTTTTTGTCGCGTCAATCGAATTCTGTGTTACTGGTGAGCGTGCAGAAAATAATTTCTCGAAAAGATTGCAATAATCTTGTCGCAAGGATCGATGTTTACGAAAACAAACGCGATTCGCATACTGGAGTATCGCGTGCTCTAATCTCGTATAAGATATATTCTGTGTATATACACATATATATATATATATATATATATATATATATATATATATATATTTAAATATAAACATACTCACACATATCGAATCGATCGATCGATGCGTCAACGGCGCGTGTTAAAAAGTAACAAAAGAATGTCCACTCGAGTGTTTAACGAGCACACACCGCCGTTCGCTCTTATTTCTAGCGAAATACAAGCGTAGTTTCCGTGTACGTCACACACGGCCGGTCGGCCTGATACCGAAACGAATTTTTTTATCTTCGGTGATACACAGCTCGGCGTTATCGCGTCGGCAGACTTGCGTATCCGGCGGCTGCGAGATTCGCAGCGGAAAATGCATATACGCGAGATCAGCAAACGTTAGGTCGCGCGCGATACATCCAGCTTCTTCGAGAGCGGCGTTTTATAAATCGCTCGGCAACGCGAGAGGCGAGAAAAAATGAGCGCTCCATTCGGTTTCGCGATTAGCGATCGGTCGCGATTGCGAAACGGCCCATCCGTAACCCAGTTCAGCGTTAATGGCGGGTGCGCGAAACGATCGCGATGAAAGAAGAAGGGATGACTGCGTTAACGAGGCTCTTTATTACGGCCGTTGGACCGCGTCGTGCATGTGCGGCGCAGCTCGGTCATCGCGTCACATCGTTGTTTCGCTCGAGAGACTGTTCTTGTGATTTTAAGCTGTCATCTCGAGGATGACGAAGAAGCGTCTCTCTCTCTCTCTCTCACTCCAGAGAAGCTTAGAACTTAGCGCGAACAGATACGAAGCGAATAGTCTGTCCCCATATTTTCGAGCAACGTTTCGTTTCATTTTAGTTTTATTTAATTTTCATTCGTTTTATATTTCCCTATAAGCGCGATTATAAGTCGCTCGTACGAGGTATCGATTTCTTACACATTGATTTTCGCAATTCACGTAACACACTCGCTCTTTCACGCGTGTCAAGTTTCTCGTCAGATTGCGCTTGAAATTGTTCGCGCGATTCGTTAAATCGCCGCTCGTCCCTTCCGCTTGAATTCTGGCATTAGCGGATTGATTTATCAGTAATGCCATTATCAGTTTAATGTCTCGCTTATTTTTGCGCCTTTCGTTTATAGAAGGCACTTGTATCGGCCTTGTAATCTCGCCGGATAACGTTATTTTCTGCGACGTTCGATCGCTATTATATACGTAAGTACGTACCACCGTGCTCTTCTCTCGATTCTCCATTTTCTGTCGGAATCTTCCGTGACCTGATCTCCATCGCTATCTTGTAACGAATGGAAAACACGACGAGATTACAAGCTCCGAACGCGACTAGTCACCTTCGTATCGTGCAAAACATCGACTTTTAACATTTTTCGCTGGTGCTTCATCGCGCCTGCGAAATCGACTCGTCAGCGTTGTCGTGTAATTTCTGGGAACTCTTGATGTCCGAGTAAAAATCTGTTGTTTTCTCCCAATAGACCGCGCGATTAATCGCGACTGTCATCGCTATGGATGTTCGCCTCGGCGACAACGACGGCAGCGCTCAATTAACGCGTATGAATACCGTCCGGCCTTTTAATTGGCCACAGTATATACATATACATATGCATAATTAGCGAAATAAACGTGTCGTTGCTTTCGCGTCGCAGAGTTATTGACGTCGTTATCATGCGCGTCGGCGTGTGTCTCGGAAAAGGAGAGAAAAAAAGGTTGCGCTAATAAATTCCTACCGGTGACGCCGAGTTCATTCAGTTTCGGCGGGCCGTGTAAACCCGATCCGATAAGGTGATCTTGTGTTTCCATGTGAAAAAAAACGCGATACGCGCACGAAAGAGAAACAAAAGTAAGAAAGTTCGACGTTTCTGTCACGATTAACGCACGCGCGCGCATATTCACGCGTTGATAAAAGATAACGGCGCGAAGATATGTGCCACGCAACTAGTCGCTTGAGACATCTCATTTTAAGAGAAAGGAACTCTGTTAAACGCACGAAGAAAGAGCGCATGGAAAAAAAGAGTCTATCGAGAATTCACCCGACAATGAACAGAATTTCTCTGACTCGTACGAACGAAATTTCCTTCTTACAGCCCGAAAATCCGCGTCTCGGCTTGTTCATCGTCAGATAATTTCAACCGGACCTTTTGTCTGCGCGTTATCGATTCTAATCGAGGAAGTTTGCTCGATGCACTTTATACTTCCACCGTCGCAAATGAGCTTTGTGAGAATCACGAAACGATTCAGATAAGACGCTTCATCGCGCGCGTCGTTCGCATCTGATTTATTTATAGAATTAGTTCTCTCTCCCTGCCTCGCAGGCGAAGATTTAAGCGGACTGTGTCACCGTGGAAAATATTTTCCCGGCGAAATCTCCTCTCGTATTCATGTCTTTTTAGAGTCGGGTGGACAACGAAAGCTTGTTTGTTGTTCGGCCGTACACGTGCCGTACGTACAGTCGCTCGCGCGGCAGAGCTCTGTGTACGCCTCTATGCTTACCGCGAGTAATTATCCGTTAATAATTTTCTCATGCACAATAACGCCTTCTTTGTCGAGGAAACAGCGATGACAATTAGCGTTGGACGATTACGGCGAATTTTGCTGCGGATTCTCTTCCAGTCTCTCTCTCAGTCGCGCGTTCCAACCGCAACTTCGACAACAGTACGTTTAAATTCCATCTCGCTTGTCCATTTTCTCGGATGATTCTTCTATTAATAATATATCAGCTTCAGGCGCGGTATCCCATTACCGATGTAATTATCAGCTGCATATCTGCATCGCGCGAGGCGAGCTGTGCCTTACATAAGCGAAGTAAATCCAATTTATGTCGCAAGTGGCGGAAGAAAATATGATACCAGCTTGAGGCGGCGCGAAGGAGCGAAGCTGTCACTCGGGTAGTCTCATCGCTTTGTCGAGATTCGCGCGAGATCCTCTGTGTGACGGAGCTTTTCAGAAGTGATATTCTCGTAGGTGCACAGAAAAGAAGGGCGTTTCACACGAAAGACAATGCACGAGGTGCTCTCTGTATTTCTTTGAATGACGTTTCACTCAGGCGGTAGAATGACAGTGCCGACTCGTTCCGAATGGAGTGACTTTTCACTCCTACACAGAGCGAATTTTTCATTCCGAATCGCCGAGTGGAAAATTTCCAGTATTGAAAGGAGAATCTTTGCGATGAAATCTACATCGTCGCGGGAAAAATTCCTGCCAATCGAAACCGAATTGAAACAATCGCTCGTGTGGATTGGAAATACGGTAATGAGATTGCCCGAAAGTTTGCGTTCTTCAAATATTCACCGTTGACGGTTCTGAGTGACGATGTTTCCACCGTTGTTGCTGTTTCGAATGAATTTTCCGCGCGTCTTGAGTGAAATTTCGCTCGTTTCGAGTGAGATTTCACTTCAAGGAAGACCCGTTATTAATGGTTGTTTCTTGAAACGTGTCTCCAGTGGGACGCTCAAGTTTGAATGAGAGTCCCGAGACGCGAGTCTTTCAGTTGACTCGCACTCGTAAGTCTAACGTCTCGCGATTACGTCGTACGATTGAACCGGGAGACACGGATCTGATGTAAAATTCGAATGTGAATGTCTCTCACTTCGGAAGTTTCGGGTAAACGACCATTGACACGGACGTTAGAGGATGGACAATCGGACACAATAATAATGCAAAGTATGAGAGAGGAAGTTCGACTTTACCTCTGGTCGGCGACGCGCTCGGCTGCCTGCCGTAACTCGCGTTCGACAACATCGTCGTCCGTTACCGCATCTCTTCGTTCAGAGTCGCTGAGAGCAGATCCGCGCGCTTGGCGAAGCGACGACGCGTGCTCGAGGAACAGACTCGTCGGAAACACCGGGATCTCAGTTCGAAAACGCCCTCGAGGAGAAAATCACCTTCGACGCCACGGAGAGCACTCGCCTCGGGGTCAACAAACTGACGACGACGGATCCACCTCCTTGGCGTTTCGCCACCAAATAGCAGGGGATTTCCTCGTCCGTTATGCTCTCAGGTTTCGACGTCAACGGAACCGTCTGATTTCCCTTGTCCTCTCACTTTATCGCGGTTTCCTTCGTCAGCTTTTTCCCCCGCGTTTCCTCTTTCTCCTCTCGAGGACAATGATCATAAAAACCGTTGCACGCGCGCGCACAATCGAGTATCGCGAGATACACTCGAGAAAAACGGATGCGCGAAAGCAAGTTTCTCGAGTGGAGCTTTTCCGGGTGATCGTGTCGATCGGACGACCTTCACTCGAAAATTTCGAAAATCGATACTCCGGAGCGGTACGCGGAGGAAGCGTGACTATTTGTTTAGAATGTTTGCGGGCCCGAAGGTTCTCGAGGCGCGTTATCGAAATCGCGAGAAAAGTCGCGTGTCCGTTCGCGATTGCTCTCCGCGCGATAAAATCAGGTGTTGCCGATGGCGATAATACAATCGAATCCGCTGTATCGATGATGATGAGAGACGGAGCGCGGAAACGGCGCACGCGTGTTGGTTGACGCGTCACACACTTGCTCGCCTGTGAGCTATACTGACGCTGAACGGATCTCCTTCGGAGTTCTCGCCGGTGTCCACGGCTCGGCGGTCGGGGGAGATAGCGCGATCTTCTCTCCCCTCTCCCCTTTTTTTACATTCGGTGGGCTCGTCTTAGCGTGTGTACACACTTGTGTGTGTGTGTGCGAGATTGAGCCGTGTAGTTTTTGTTTTTCCATTTTTTTTTCGTCATGTCCCGTCGCCCGCGAATGACGGCGCGTCACGATTCGCACGGGCGAGAGACAAAATAGCAGGAGGAGGAAGACCGGTCCGGGCAGAATTTGACCGCGTCTCTCTTGGCGGCTCGCCGACAAGTATCCGAGAGGATGTATCGAAGTATCTCGGAAAAACAAAAAAAAACACGCGTCGAGATAGAAAACGATGACACCTGTGGCTCTCTGTAAATTTGTCGGAGTAAAGTCTCACTCGAGAAGCGGAGAGTTGATCACTTTTCATTCTCGTATGGAGCGAATTCTCCGCTCTGAATCGTCGTGAATAATTTCTACTCGAAGCTGAAGAGCGAATCTGATGGGGATATGCAGTACCAACATATCGAGCAGTACGCCGGGTTGCCACTGGTAAGGGCACGTGTGAGAGACCGCGCGCGCGATCGATCCGAGTTCACGCGTTCTCACTCTTTCACACGTGCCCTTGCCAGCGGCAACCCGGCATACTGCTCGATATGTTGATGCAACAATCTATATAGTCGACTTCACCATCACATGTCACTTCAACCTATTGAAACACTCGCTCATACGGAAGTTGTAATTCAGCCTAAACTTGAGCGAAACATTCAAGTACGATTCGCAAGATACAAGACACGTTCTCTTGCGATTTCGAGTGACAATATTTTTTTTGTCTAACACTTCGAGTGAGTTTCCGCTCCGAGAAATTTAGAGAGATCACCTATCTCCCACGAGTCCGCGTCAGACTCGGCCATTTGGAGAATTGGAACTCGACGAATCGGGACAAAGCCGGTTGAAATCGACGTTAGTTGGCTTGACAAATTCCACTTCCCCGATCTGTAATCCTCAGTTTCCAGTACCTACCTGGCCTGATACCCCTGAACCCCTGACCATTACAGGTCGTTACACCGCGCGGATAAAAACGCGGATAAAAACGAGCGTCCCGGGCGAGACTGAGTGGCGCGGGCGCATCTTGCATTTTTCTTCGCATATAGAAAAATGAAACACTAACGTTGCACACGTGCAGCTGCGAGATGCATGGTTGAACAATTTCCTTAATATCCACGCTGTACGTACGAAGGTCGAGCGTGGTAACGATAAGAAGTTCCGCCAGCTAGTTGCGACACACCAACACATTCGACGCTCTTTCAAACGCAGCCGATTAATCGCGTTCGACCGCGGTAGCTCAATATAATAAAGAACTCGCGGGTAAAGATCATGCACGCGCTCATTAGTATGCTATTAATATGAAATACGTCAGTCGAAAGTTTACCGGGAAATGGGAATGCACTGGAAATCCAACTATGTTACTCGCGTGAGCGTGTAGTTCGCCTGAAACTTTGTTTACACGTTTCTTATCGTTCAAATCACAATGCACGTGTTAATTACGTTTGAACATGTCAACACGTTCTACGTAATTCACGTTCAGATTCGCAGTGTGGATGGAAATTCTGACGCATGCGCGGAATAAATGCTGTCGTATCAATCGAATTGACGAACGGTAGTACGATTGAAGCAAATCTTCATTCGATAGCGATATCATTGAAACTAATCATACGTTGTTTCAATAACTCGAGTATTAGTTTCAGTAACGTCGCTATCGAATCGAGAAGATTTACTCCGATTACAGCGCTATTAATCAGATCGATTGATACTTCGGCGTTCTCCTTCCACGTGCGTATAAAGTTGTCGATTACGCGGCAGATGCGCGACGGTTATCGAATGCAAATTGATTGAAACGATGTTAATTAAAAGGAAACGGCGGATGTATGTGCGTGTGTGTGTGTTCGGCGTCGCGCGCATTCGACGAACGGCTTCGTGCGTATCGGCAATCTGACGAAGAAGAGGAGGCGGTCGGCAAAGAAGTAGGAAAAGAAGAAGAAGTCTCGAGAAAAAAAAACTATTAATGTAACCGGTCCTCCGGCTGTGACGTCCACGGCTTGATTATAAATGCAACGACTCTGTCGATTCTTGTTTTATCGATGCACGTGCGACCAGAGCCAGCCGAGTCCTCCATCTTCGACAAAATGAAAAGAATTATGTGACTCCTCTTTCACGTTAGAGGCTTTAAACACGTTGATAAATGTGTTGACTTTTAGCTCGAAATCCGCCGCAATCGGAATCCGTATACTATGTTTGCCCGCAGCTCCTGGAGATGCTGAAATTCTACGCCCGATTCGAAATCAGCGAGGAGACCGGCAATCCCTTGACGGATCACGACATGACGCAGTTGCACTACGCTAAAATTACGTCTCTTCAGGTACGTGGAATCCCGTCTCGACTTCCCAGAGACCGTGAATTACGGGTATCCTTGCAGTTACCGGTGAAGTAATCAAGAATAATTTTCCCCTCTGTGTCGCGTTTACCGCTCGATATCTCGCGAGCTTGATTATGACGTAACGGGATTTTCGCGGCGGATTTGCGCAGTGAGCTTTTCGTGAAAGCCCACGACGACGAAAACGTATCAATGAAAAGAAGGGGGGGGGGGAATATTATAGATACAGAAGTATGAATTTCAACTGGAATGTGATTAATGCCTCTTAGTCATCGTCGGTATGGCAATTTACGCACGAGCGTTTCTCAGACGCGTTAATATATTCTCGAAATCGTTAAACCGTTAAACATTAAAATTTTGCCTAGAATGCGGTCTTCGCCAAATTCCCGGATCTGCGGAGCTTCGCGTTGGCCAACGTGGCCAGCGTCGACGTCAGGGACGCTCTTTACAAGCATTTCGGCTCGCTCAGGTAAGTCCTTTCTTTGTACACGAATAATTCTTCTCGACGCGATGTGCACAGTTATGTATTTTGAGAAAAAAATTTTAAGGTAAACGTACTCCATGATATTTCATTACGAGACTAACTGACATGTTCGTTAGCCTGACGATAACGTCGGAACGCTGCTAGTAACGTTGCCTTTTTATTTCCTTGCAGCCAAGAAAAATTGAGAGCTATCGCGAGTTATTTAAATTTAGTGCCACCGGAGGAGCGTGAGAAGGACGAGAATTGGTACCGCTTGGACATAGACTTTCTGCGCGAACTGCTGGTAAGAGTCGACGGGAAGAAAACAGATGGAGAGAAAAGGAGAGAGAGAGAGTCCTAGCAAAGCTCTCAGATGCGTAGAATCGAAAGTAGATTTTTACAAGCCAATAAGAGCTACCAAGTTATTGTAGAAAAAAAGAAAGAAAAAAAGACGATTGCCGCACACGAGATTTGCATAATCGAGGTCGCGCCGAATTCTGAGAGGTGCGCCTTTTTTTTCTTTATTTTTAGATATCGCGGCACGAGCGTAGGCCGTCGCAGCTCGAGGAGCTGAATGAGATGCCGCTTTATCCGACCGAGGACATCATCTGGAACGAGAGCGTCGTCCCGACCGAGTATTTCTCCGGCGAGGACTGCCTGGCTCTGCCGAAATTGAACCTTCAGTTCCTCACGTTGCACGATTACCTGCTGCGGAACTTTAATCTGTTTCGTTTGGAGTCTACGTGTAAGTAAAAAGGCGGTAGAAAAAAAAAACTCGCGAATCTCTCGATTAATTGCCGATCGTTAAATGTGTTACATATACATATCGTCGTTGTTTTCGCAGATGAGATACGACAGGATATCGAGGATGCCGTAAGCAGACTGAGTCCTTGGTAAGCTATTCGCTGCAGTGTTCTTTCTCTTTTTATTTGGCTCTTTCTCCTTTTTTTTTCCTCTTTGTCGCGGTGGATGTCATTTTTTTTCCTTGTTCAGGCGAGCCGAGGACGGCGGTGTTTACTTCGGCGGATGGGCCAGAATGGCTCAGCCGATCACGCAATTCGCGGTGGTCGAGGTGGCTAAACCCAACGTGGGCGAGAACAAGCCGTCCAGGGTGCGCGCTGATATCACGATCAACCTCAGCGTTCGCAAGGAGATTAAGACCGAGTGGGAGAATCTCCGTAAGCACGACGTGTGCTTCCTCATCACGGTCAAGCCTCCGAATCCGATCGGTAATGGCGATACAAATTACGCAAAGACTGCACACACATCAACTATAGTAATAATAATTATTATTATAACAACAGAGCATAACAATAATATCACGTTGACTGGAGGTTTGTTCTCAAAAACACTGAACCAGTCTCGATACGGACAAAACATTTTTTTTCAAATAAAAATACGCTGACAAATGAAATGTGCATTATACAAAAAAAAAAAACTGATAAACCACCTAAGGAAAAACGAACTGTGCACAATAATAAATTTTAACTAATACAGACGAAGTTTCACAATATGATATGCAGCATCGAATACTTGAGCAATCGCGTCGCGTTGTTGCAGGCACCAAGTACAGTCACAAGCTCCCCTTCGTGCCCCAAGTGGGTCTGACCACGGTCCGCGGCTGCGAGGTCGAGGGTATGCTCGACTCGAACGGCAGAGTGATAGAGGACGGCCCGGAGCCGAGGCCCATTTTGCCGGGTGACTCCCGGACCTACAGAGTGTGGCTGGACTGCAATCAGTATCGGATAGACATGGACAACGCCAGCCACGGCGGCGAGGACGTGTACGAGGGATTCAATATTATAATGAGACGTAAGCCCAAAGAGAATAACTTCAAAGCGGTTTTAGAGACTATCAGGGAGCTCATGAACACCGAATGCGTCGTCCCGGACTGGTTGCACGACATAATCCTCGGATACGGCGATCCCGGTGCGGCCTGCTACTCGAGGTGATTAAGTCGAATTTGATTACACGGTGAACGCTAAAAGTTCCGAAACAATCGGACGAAGACAACTAATTTTTGGGAAAAAATGTTTCAGAAACGAAAAAGTTGTAAAGTTGGCGAATGCCATACCAAAGTCATACCTGGATATAGCTGTTAGATGTGCTTATTTTAAACCTTTTACAACTTTTATCTGAAATATTTTCTCGAAAATTCATTCTTCGTGAAATATTCGACCGTTCCGAACTTTTAGCGCTAACTCTGGTGAATCGACTGATCCTTGTGTAAATTTAAATTCATTCGTTTATTTTCGCTTGTTTATTTATCTATGAACGGGTGATCTACAGACAACGTAAAAACGAAAAAAAAAACATTGATTCTGTGTGACAGAATGCCGGACGAGATCGCGACGATGGATTTCAACGATACGTTCCTCGATATAGACCACCTGCGAGCAAGTTTCCCCCCATACGAGATCGTAACGGATCCTGAGGACGAGAAGAATCTCATGCGGCCATTCCAGTTGATTTTCAAGGATGTCCTGGCGAAGCGTAACAAGGAGCCCGCGAAGAAGATCATCGGGGTCAAACCGCATGTGCCGCCCAGCCGCGGCCCGTACAGAGCGAACGAGCCGAAGAAGTGAGCCCTCGCTTTCTTGTTTACACATTTAATGACGTATCTATATAAGACACGTTGCTTCCTCTCAACTCGCAAGATGAGAAACTCTCTTATGTGTTGTCACGTTACAGGAATCAAATCCCCTTTACGCCGACGCAGGTCGAAGCTATTCGAGCTGGGATGCAACCAGGTCTGACGTTGGTGGTGGGTCCGCCCGGTACCGGCAAAACGGACGTCGCCGTGCAGATTATCTCGAATTTGTATCACAATTTTCCGAATCAGCGGACCTTGATCGTCACGCACTCCAATCAGGCGCTCAACCAGCTGTTCGAGAAGATCATGGCGCTCGATATCGACGAGAGACATCTTCTGCGTCTCGGTCACGGTGAGGAAGCCCTAGAGACCGAAAAGGACTTCAGTCGATACGGTAGGGTCAACTATGTCCTTGCCAAGCGTTTGGATCTACTTCTGGAGGTCCAACGGTTACAGGTACGAGTCGCTTTCGAAGGGTCACGTTTCAACGGGATATGCGCGTACCGAATACTAGCGAATCCATTCGTCCATTCTCTTTCCTCAGGAATCGCTGAATGTGAAAGGCGACGTCGCGTATACCTGCGAGACGGCGGGATATTTCTTCATGTATCAGATATCGACGAGGTGGGATCGCTTCGAGGCCAAGATCAAGCAGCGACAGAGCACCAGCGGAAAGTCCGACCTGGCCGCCATAATCGACGAGGAATTTCCGTTCCACAAGTTTTTCGACAACGCACCGCAGCCGCTCTTCAAGCGTAATACATACGAGGAAGATCTCAAGATCGCGTGCAGCTGTTATCGGTGAGTCGATGATGAACCGTCGGATCAGATAACTCAGATAAACGATCAGAAAACACTTCCAGACTGTTCTAAATTTATTTCTTCAATGGAGAGACTGCACACTCGTGTGGGTTTATTAGCGAGCGTTCTGTACTCTTGAATTATTCAGTAGTCATCATCACTCTAAGGTGCTTCCCTGTTATCTGCGGCTTAAAAATCTGTTTGGCAGGTTCTACGTATTTCACTCGGCCACCTTGGGGTCTTAATAAATGAAACAATATCTTGCTGTTTATACTATGCATACAACTCATGATTACACCTGTGAATGTCGTTGTCATTGATGAGTCCGCAGATTTCCCTTAGTACATCTCAAGAGTACGACAATATTTATTAAACAAATCAATATATTTGGAACAGTTTGTAGTAAGTGAGTTCTCTTGAATGAAGACGCTAACGGAGCGCTATCGCGCGCAGGTATATCGAGAGGATATTCGCGCAACTGGAGGAGTTCCGTGCGTTCGAATTACTGAGATCCGGCCTAGACAGATCCAAGTATCTGCTCGTCAAGGAGGCAAAGGTGATCGCAATGACTTGCACGCACGCAGCGCTTAAGAGACGCGAGCTCGTCGACATGGGCTTCAAGTACGACAACATCCTCATGGAGGAGTCCGCGCAAATCTTGGAGATCGAGACCTTCATACCGTTGCTGTTGCAAAATCCCCAAGACGGTTACAATCGCCTGAAGCGATGGATCATGATAGGTGACCACCATCAGCTGCCGCCCGTCATCAAGAACATGGCTTTCCAGAAATACTCGAACATGGAGCAATCGTTGTTCGCGCGTTTCGTGCGACTAGGTGTCCCCACGGTCGACCTGGACGGCCAGGGTCGTGCCAGGCCCAGCATCTGCAATCTCTACAACTGGCGTTACAAGAAATTGGGCAATCTGGCGCACGTGGAGCGCAGCCCAGAGTACCTGGTGGCGAACGCCGGCTTTCTGTACGACTTTCAGCTGGTCAATGTCGAGGACTTCAACGGCGTCGGTGAGAGCGAGCCGAGCGCCTATTTCTATCAGAATCTCGCCGAGGCGGAGTACTGCGTTGCGGTGTTCATGTACATGCGTTTGCTGGGCTACCCTGCCGATAAGATCAGCATATTAACCACCTACAACGGCCAGAAGCACCTCATAAGGGACGTGATCAACATCCGATGCGCGAACAATCCACTGATAGGCCGGCCGAACAAAGTCACCACCGTCGACAAGTATCAAGGTCAACAGAACGACTACATCCTGTTGTCCCTGGTGAAAACGCGCGCCGTCGGTCACCTGAGGGACGCGAGGCGTCTGGTGGTGGCGATGTCGCGCGCCCGCCTCGGCCTCTACGTCTTCGCCCGCGTGTCCCTCTTCAAGAACTGCTTCGAACTGACGCCGGCGTTCGATCAGCTGATGCAGCGGCCGTTGAAACTGCAGCTGCTGCCGCAGGAGGTTTATCCTACCGAGCGACCGAACGATGCGGCGCCTTCGACCGCTCCCATGGAGATCGAGGATATGCCGCACATGGCTAAGTTCGTCTACGATTATTACATGGAGAAGGTCAGCGGTATGAAGGTAATTTCCAATTAGAGGTATTTTGACAAAAAGATAAACGAGCATCAAATGCACTACCGTGTCTCTCTCTCTCTCTCTCTCTCTCTCTCTCTCTCTTGATAATGTATAATTCGTTTCTCGAATTCACATTGCCTCCTCGATGCTGACGAAAACGCGTGGGGTTGCCCCTCCTCGTTTATTTCAGGAGTCGCAAAAGATGTGGCAGAAGCCGGGAACCATGCAGACCACAAGTAACCGGGCGCACAAGATCCCTGCTCACCCCGGTGCCGATGACGACACTGACGACGACGACGACGACGACAACAATAACAACGAAGAGGTAGTAGTAGAAGAAGAAGAAGAAGAAGAACAAGAACAACAAAGTAAGGCCGAGACGAAAGAGTCCACGGAGGAAAAGACAGAGACCAAGTACGAACCAATTAAAAATTTAGTCGAAGATCTTCCGAGTGAGACCGAGGACGACGGTTGAGCGGGCCCACGTCGCAATATTACTTATCTATGCGCGCAAAGACTGACACTGTGCTCGAACACGCATCGGTAGCGAAAGTGGAACAACCAATTCCGCTATTTGAAGGCGAAAGAGATGTTCGAGCGTTCATGATCATCAGAAGCTACCTCTTCCATCAGCATCATTCGATCGCTCGCACTTACTAAGAATATACGTTTTATTATAATGCGAATCATCGTTTCACTGTACAATAGTAGACTCTCCGTACGTGCGTGTACGAGTTAAAATAAAGTATGGTTTTTGCAAATGGCACGGTACACGAAATTCCAGTCTCCGTACGCACTTGTCCCGACACTCGCGCGGCCGCTTCCTCACGAGAACAGCTCGTCTATCTTCTTCTTGGTCGGCGTCCCTTTCCTACGCGCCTCCAGTCTCTGCATCTTCAACCTGTCCGACTTGTCCGGAGTTCTCTTGGTGTCATTCAGGCCTCTCTGTCGCACGCTCGACGGCACGTAACTGTCGTCGAACTTCATCAGCTTACTCGGCGACCTGAAGTCGGGCTCGTATTCTTCTACGGACGGCTTGATCCCCTTCGAATTAGGCACGTACTCGTCGAGTACGCCCTCGGGGATCGTCGTGGTGGCGCATGGCTCGTATGTCTCGTACATCATCTCCAGCATCTCGATGGGATTTGGCACGTAGCTCGCTGCTGTGTCGTCGACGCTCTTGCCGTCCGCGCACAAGGTCGGCGTGTATTCGTTCGACGTCATTCGCATGTTCTCCAGCGCGCTCTTCCGGCTGGGCACGTATTTGAAATCGGGACACAGTCCCGCCGCGTTCGGCGCGTCCGGTATGTACTCCTCCAGCTCTCCCGGCGCGTTCTCCGACTCGTCGGACAGCGAGTACTTGCTGCGAATCCCTTTCCTCTTCTGATCCTCCTGCTCCACCATCGCGTTGCTCTTCAGTTTTTTCGCAGGGGAGATCGCTTTCTCGGGCGTTCTTTTGAATCGCTCGCTCTTGGCCTCGCCCGTCCGATGTGGAGACTTCTCCTCTTTCGTTCGTTTCGCCGCGTCATCCTCCAACTCCGCTTTGCTCCCCTCAACGCATGCTTCTCGCTTCACCGGTTTCTTCCGGGCCGGCGACACGTGCACCTTGATTGTAGGTAACGACGTCGCGTCGCTCGAGCATTCCGGAGGGTCAAAAGTGTACCTATCGCCGATCGTGTTAACGAGTTAATGAAAAATATCCAATTTAAGTAATATATATTAAGCTGGTCGATGAAAGCACAATCGACCTGCGTAAAAAAGGACCTACGAAGTATTTGTCGTCTAATAATAACCGATAAACTGATCATCTTTATCTGTTTTAACAGATAAGAGCAGACAATACTTGACTGATATCAATTTTCAAATCGTTGACCAGACTAATCAGCGTTTGGTGAAAGTCACTCATAGACTGAAACTTTGATCGAAATCAAATGAAACTAATCGACGAATAAAAATTGCCAAAACCCATTCCTCCACCCGGTTGTGTGTAATTTATCGTTCAATAATAATCGGAAAATGTCTACCCACGTCAGTAAGACGGAACAGGTAACACTTGATCGACAGCAATTTTGAATCGTCGACTAGCTCAGTCGGACTTCGGTCATCCTTAGATTCAGAAGGCAGAAGGCCGCGAAATCAATATCGGAGTACGCCTCGACAGAGCAAGCACCGGCAAACGCGATTCTTACGTGACCTCCAACTGCCGAGTGGACTTTTTCCACTCGCATCCGCGACCCTCGCGATGCGATCCGTCACCACCGCGACCGTTTCGCAGTACCGCGCGTTCCAGTATCTTGTACAACGCCGCCCAGTCCTCGACTTGCAGCCACTTGTTGGTGATGACCTTTCGCCTCTTGATCTCCACCGTTTTCTCCTGCACGGTCACCACAGCGGTCGCCAAGCAGTTGTCCGAGGCCTGCGAACGTAAATGCGATCGCGTATGGTGATGTTTGATCAACCGCTGCCGTGATGAAACGCCTTTTCCGTCAGCGAGATAAAGCAGGCAAAACACTTGACTAATGGCAATTTAAAAATCGTCGATTAACTTAATCGGGGGATTGGTGAGAGTCGTCATAAATCGACGATTGGATCGATCCGAGTTTGATGAAAGTCACCCTAATGCCCCCGCCGATTCTCAAGCTGAAGCAACGTTACACGTGACGCTCGTGTGAGAAAAACGACCAAGCGTTTGCCGTACGTCCTGAACGGGATCCCAAGAGTTGCTCGAGCATCGCTGCTCGCGCTTTTTCCGCCAGAGGAACCTGAATAACAAGGTCGCACGATTCCACGTGTCCGATCGTCTTGAAACGTCTCGTACACGTAACTCCTATCTCCCCGGTATGTTGTGCCGTCGGCGATATTTCCCGTGCTGCGAGATACCGACGAATATCGGCCGTTCGCACGAAAAACGACGGCTACGGGTTTTATTATCGCTCCGACACGGCCGCTTGCGCGCGCACACCTGACAGCTGTTGACAGCTGTTGCATGGTACCTTGATCACTTCTAAATATTGGCCGTCCCGGAACATGTTCTCGATGGCAGCACGCTGACCAGCACGGCGGCGATGCGAAGGACAGCGCGAGGACGAGGCGCGTCGCCTTCCTTCTCCTGCCGACTTCGTCCTGACACCTCGTGTTGCCTCGCCGGAACGTCGAGAAGCGTGTCTGACGTCGCGCGCCCCGCTCTTCCCCGCGCGGCGCGGTCAGTGCCGCGCGAATGGCAGATGCGAATTCGCCGGCGCCGCCGACTCGCCTCCTTTTCTTCCTCACTCGGTCGGCGAGTCGACCGTCCGGGAGATTCGCTTTCCGTTCTGTGCATCGGATGGTTCCCCGCGCTGACGATAAGATCAAGCTGCGTCGGTGTCGATGCGTTATCCGCTCGCGAATGGCGGTATTATATAAATGGAAGTAGCGTGTATATATGTACAAAGTAGTTCCGCTAACCGGAATTTTTCGAACGAGACTCGTCCGTCAGATTGGATCCTTCTCGGCGAGCCAGTCAGCTGATTGCCGACGTGAGAGGGTTTCGTGAAAACGTAAGGATCGACAGGCGAAGCATCACTTGGCCGTGTGGACATTTTTGGAAATGTATCGCGCGATGAACGAGTAAAGATTTTCGTTTGAGTTTGATTATCGTAAGCTTTCTCCGTTGTTTCTTTTTTTCATTGAAAAATCTCGTTGCCACACCACTGCGAGGAACGCAAGCTGTAAGCGTCATCGGCCTCTCGTCGCGTGTTTAATTCAACGGGAATTTGCGGGTGTGTATATATGCTACATCAGTCAAATTCCGTAAATGATTATGTAATATTGTTACACGGGAAGGGGGAGTCATTCACTCCTTCCAGATCGCGCGGATTGACCGGGAAATTCGACTGAAGGTGTAATCGGTAATTAAGTTACGTGACGTCGCCGTGCGACGTAGTCGTCCGAAACGTCGGCATTCGGAGTGATGATAACGCTTACTCTAGCATTTTAGCACGAGGAACGGAAATTCCGCTTTGTATTTTGTATATTCAATATTTTGCTGTAACAAGCTTTTACGACACACGGCAGAATGCGGCCGAATAGTGCGCGATCGGTGCGCGCACACGTAATATTCAAGACTGACGGTCGCCGAAGAGGACACGCGTTTTACGAATGAAATAACGTTCGAGGAGAAGGTGAGAGAAAGGCCTAAGGAAAGAAATCGAGTTGATCATGGCACGCGAGGAAGAAACGACGATTTTCAGACGTTTCCAGGTCTTCATGGAGGACGAAATGGGAGCGGGCAAGGTATGATAACCTCTTAACCTAAACGCGAAATTGGCGATACCTTTCAAATATCGCTCACCAACATCGCATTTGTATTCGTTTCAGCTCATCACTTACGGAATCGCCAGTGCTGGTTTACTCGTTGCAATGTACAGAATTCGGCCGGTATGTGTGAAAATCAGGAGTTCGAATCTCGCGTGTGATACTCACGTTTTCCCATCGTTCTCGCAGTTCACGAGATTCAAGAAGCCGTCCGACGTCCCGTCTCATTTCCTACAGTCGCGTGTCCCGCTGCAGGGCACCGTGATGCGCGTGGAACCGAGCGGTGGTGTTCTACTAATGGTCGATCACCAGCCTCTGCTGCCTCTCCCCTGGTTTAACCAAACGAGTCAGTTACCTGTCAAGATCGGTGGCGTCGACGTCACGGGCAACGGTATTGTATCCAGCCGACGTCGCAATCCTGATAAACTACCGTCGAAGTGTACTGTCGATCTTCTTTTCAGGTGTCAGTTGGCTGCAAACTGTAGTCAACAGGAAACTTGTAACGTTCGTGCCTATAGTCAAGAAAAGAGATTACTTGGAGTGCACGGTTGTAATGCCACAGAAAGATCAAGTGAGGAAGAGAGCTATTGCCTACCTCCTGTGTGGAATCGCGTGCTCATCATAGTGTTGTTTTTGTGAACAGGATCCGTTAAAAATTGGCGAGGAATTAGTAAAGTTGGGTTTAGCCACAGTACATGAATCCGGCACAAGGCTGAAGGACAAGCATGTCTCGGCGTACAGAAGATCTCTAGCGAATGCACAGAAATGGGCTGCACGCCGGAGAAACGGACACTGGCATTTTAGCAGACAACCAACAGTTGTCTGGAAAATGCAAATGTTCGTAATAGATAAGTTGAAGTCATCGTTACCTGCTTACATAGTGAGACAGCTTGATCTTTAATAGTATCTGCCTTTCATTTTGATATTTACAGAGTATATATTTTCTCTTAATTATATATAATTAATTATATATAGAAGATATTTTTCGATAGATCGCATTCTACAGGAATATAGTATTTAAAGCTTTCCTTTTTTTAATAAAAATCGTTTCAGTATACTTTCCTACGTGTTATTGACTTGTAGTATCTCTTAGCGCGAATATAAAGAGAGTGTTAATACTTATTCATTTCCTGTGTGCGTCTTATTGAGGATGTTCGTCCCGAAACGCTTCAGTTAAAGCATAGATTCTCACGGATTTAAAGATACGTACAAAAATAATTTCAAACATTTTGACTTGAATACTTTTGATTCGTCAATTTACTCAATTGTGCGGTGAATGGCACATTGTCATTTGTTTGGATATATGATATGTGTGGTAAATATTTAAAAGGTTCGCTTTATTGTTATAATTGTTAAACTGTACAACTTCTTACGGGTTACTTTACACTTCAGACCTGAAGATAACAAAGTTATTAGGAGTCATAATTCTTGGCGTGTATACACTCAGCTTTAACAGAAACGTTTTTGTGCATCAAGTTCTCAAACTTGCGTTACATAGTTCTACAATTTACTCGTAAATTATTCTTACACACATACATACACACGTATACATACATTTAAAGATAACTTATTCGATATATATTCCCTGTACCGTAATAAAATAAAAACGTAAGTATAAAAATAAAAACAGATAAACTTAACGAAGATTGCCTATTAATGCCATATAATGATACTGGATTAGCGAAAAGTTCAAGGAGCGTTTCTTTTTATCACTAAGAATAAAGAAGATTCAACACAGATCGTAACTTTGATAAGAGCAACGGTAATATGGTGATGCGAGCAATATTTCGGCCCACAATAGGTATTTTAAACCTTAAGAAATTGACCAATCATAGTCGAATATGAAGAGAATAATTAACTGTGATTAATCAATTTCTTAAGGCTTAAAATACCTATTGTAAACCGACACTTACACAGATTAGGATGCAAGACAATCTACAATCGTAACACAATTAGGTAATTACAATATATTATCGGTTGTTATACGTCCGTGCGAGAAAATCGCGTTACCAGTTTAATATTTGCGCATAATTATAATTAACATAATTATGCGCATTCGCTTTTGAAAATGAGTACAAAGACAGAATATCAATAGCGATAATAACAAAGATAATGAAAAAACGGAACGTTAAAGAAAAAAAAATTATCTACTCAGTATGAGCATTTTAATCTCTCGCAAAATCTACAAAATTAGAATATATAAATATAAAAATCATACGTAGAATATATACTAAACAACGGAATGAACACACACACACACACACACACACACACACACACACACACACACATATATATATCATGTGTGGATATTAAAATTTGTAAAAAACAACAAGATTTTCAACTTCATATATATATATGTATATATACACACGCATCACAGTCACAAACATTCCTTCTTAATCTTCTATCGTTAATAAGTCAGCGTAATAAAGCTAACAGGTCTTCTTAATATATTGCGTGCATTCAGTGTTACAATCGCTCACTGATCGCTTAGTGAGTTCTCGAATTTGTTTAGTGCATACTTTTGAATTTATTCAAGATCAAAAGTACAAATGAATCCGAAAGCTCACTGAGCACCTAGTACTCAACACACGCATTGTTGCGTTGCCTTCTAGAATGTATATACACGATTGTGCACTCGGTTCCAAATTAATTTACACGAAACGAATCTATTTGCCACGAAAAATTGCCAGCCTCGTAAGTAACTTGCATCAATTTTTCGCGGAAATGGAATTTCTGAGATATTAGTATATCGCTTAGCTTAGTTATCGCTTAGCAAGTATTGATAATTTTACACTGTGTGTATATGTGTGTGTGTGTCGCTTGTTTTGTTTCTCATTAGAATTTGTTTTGTCGGAATCTTTCTTTTTCGTTAGAATCCTTTGGACGGCTTGATTTCTGCTAAACTCACTTTCTCGGATTCACTTTTTGTGCGGAAGCATCTTTTTCTATTTTCTTCCCGGATTTTGTACTCGTTTTCGCAGCGTTTTCTCGCATTCTATCGTTCGTCTCGGGTTTGGCATTCGACTTTGTACCGGTTTTCACGTCATTCTTAATTTCGTCATTGGTGGATTTCGGGGCTCGCTTAGTCTCCGACGATTTCACGTCTGCGTTAGTGGACTTATCGGCTTTGGGAGCTGCTTTCGGCGCGGCGGTCGGCTTCGGTGTTGTTGTGGGAGCCGCAGTTGGCTTGGGTGTCGTCGTCGTCGTCGTCGTAGGAGCCGCAGTTGGCTTAGGCGTTGTTGTAGGCGCAGGAGTTAGCTTCGGTGCAGCTGGAGCAGCGGTTGGCTTCGGTGTTACCGGTGGGGCAGTTTTCTTCGGTGTTGGTTTCGCCGTCGTTGCAGAGCCCGTGTCCCGTTTTGTTCTGGCCGCGTTCGCATCCGAAGCAACAGCCTTCGGAGGCTGCTTCTCGCTCTTGGCGCTTTTCTCACCGTCGACCGCCAGGTCGGGGAAAGCCTGTTTCAATGGCACTCTCCCGACATAATTATTCCATGGGCTACCGAGCCACAGATAACCGTTGTGTATGTAAGCCGAACTGATACCATTGATTATGTCCGTATTGTCCGAGGAGACGATATCTAGGATGTTACCAGACCCATCGAATCTCATCACCATAGATCTCTGCATCGTGTCTATTATTGCTACCATTTGAAACGATCCGAGCCAATTCATGATTTTCTCCACATAGACATTGGAATAATAACGGTGAATCAGTTCAAATGGCATTTCAATCAAAGTGAGCAAACGCGAAAGCATCTTTCTAATGTACGGATGTGGCATGAGGCTTTGCGACAATATAGGATGCTCAGGGCTAAGACCTAAGACTATTGAGACGAGGAAAGCACCGTGACCGTCACTATGTATGTTGTCCACCAAACCTGGCAAACCCGCCATAAGGATCTCATGTTGCCCGGCCTTTGGTCCTTTCAAGTGATACTTCACGATGCAAGATTTCAGCGTTTCCGCGACAACTACGAAGCTCTCGTCGTCGCTCAATTTAACCCCGTTTGCAAATCCGAGATTTCGCAACAGCACCTCGTTTTTATTCTCAGCCGCATTGTAACGTATAAACCTGCCAATGAGAGATAACAGATAAATTCATGTAAATACAAGCATAATAAAAATCCTTGCATTTTTACATCAGCGTTTTTTATTACCTTCCTGATGGATTAGCCAAAAACGTATGTAATCCTTCATGAAGAAGGAAATCTGTACTGCTATCAGTCCAATAAAGATCTCCATTTTCTGCGACATCTATACTGTTAGGAATTGTTGGTCTTTTTCCGTCAATTGGCTTAGTAACATTTACTATGTTTTTGTACTCTTTGGTGGCCATATTCACTTTGAAAATTCCATAATAAGTATCCGATACGAATAAGTTGCCATTCTTGTCAAACTTAAATCCTAATGGCCTGCCACATATGTGTTCTTGCCAAACGCCATCTGCAAATTTGAAAGGCAAATGTGCTATCAACTATTACCTTGATATGATAAATCATATATATATATATATATATATATATATATATATATATATATATATACCCGACAAAAATAACCATCTGTCAGGATGGTTATTTAATCTTGGAGGAGCTCATTTTCTGTACAACCGTAAATCACTACACCTTGAGGCATATATATATTTGTATTCAATTTTGTAGATATTTTAATCTGATATCGAAATTGGGTGCAAAATCGAGTGGAGAAAAAATAGGGGACATCTTAACAAAAACTTGATTCTTTGTTCTTGACATTTCTAAATATTATTATTTAGAAAATATTTAGATGTGACTAGGCAATCATAGGAGATATAAACGAATTTTTCTATAACAATTCTGATTCAAAATTTCACTAATGTTAAATTATTCCATATATGATTATTATTCCATATCTGATAAATTATTCCATATTTTGTTTGTCTGATGTTGAATAATTCAACATCATGCAACACGTGTAGCACGTAGTGCGGTAACACCAGATTAGAAAGATATAAATCAAACTTAATTCCGGTCAGTGTTTCTATGTGTCAACTTGATGTGTGATTATATTTATACTATGCGTACATGAATAGAACGAAAAATTAGAAAATTAACATGTCCCCTATCATGTGTATTACTTTTGGTTCACTAAACTTGACCTCCACGACGATATTTTTATTATAAAACATAGTACAGTAAAATAGTTGGTTTTCATTATTTGTTATCAAGTATTTTATTATCATGTATCCTGTTATCATGTACAATATTATTTATTCTCTGTTATCAGTACTCTGTTATCATTTGCAATACTTTTGAAGTGGAACCAATTTCGATACATGTGGCATAGTAATGAGTTTTTAATTTTTATGAACAATTTCAAAATAAATATTGACTACAAAGTTGAACTTTTTGCTATAAATATGCAAATAAATATGCTATAAATATGCAAATAGATATGCTATAAATATGCAAAAATATGAGAAATTTGAGAATTGAAAATGCCAAAGATAAAAAAACAAGTTATAACATTTTACGAAGATTGTCGCAACAAACCGTATTTTTATCAAAGTACATGTAATGTTGTAAGAGAAAGACATCATAAACAAATTATATTTAGTCTCAGTAGGCACAACTGAAAATAACGTGTTAATATGATTATATTTACAATATTGTGCGTACGCAAATAGGAAAAAAAAATTGGAGAATTAATAATAAAAATTATGACTTGGAAAATGAAAGGGTAAATTTGGAAAAATAAATTACACATCCACTCACCGCACTCCTTGCCGAATTTCACGATCGGGACGACGCGATTCTCCTCCAATCTTATGATGTAACCGCCGTGGATCCCGCTGTATAGTTCACCATTGTAGGAATCAAAATTTTCGGCTCCTAAGATCTCGTCAACGTACATCCGTTGGGCGCCACGTAGCCGGATTTTCGGGCCTACCTTGGGATCGACAGTGCGCGGTAACGCTATGCTGAAATCAGCCGATCAAAGATCAGTCATCAGGATGATAAAGCAGGACAAGGTTCAAAGGCCATTGGTGTAACGTTTGAAGCACGTAACAGAATCAACGTGCTTGTTTTTCATCGAACGACATTCTCAACGAAATGGCGAACGTGCACTTCGTGATAACGTATATGACCTTTATGAATTATATCTCTACATTCTTTCTCTTTTCATGTGTACAGCATCAGCTAAGATGTTTTGAAGGTAAAACACTTGAAAGCTGGTACCTGTACTCTTCGAACTCCACGTGCGGCGGCAAGCCTGGGAGAAACGTAACCAAGGCCAAAAACAGGCCGACATAGATGATGAAGGTGCCGGTCGACTTGAGGTAACCCATCTCGTCGTAGTTAGTGCAGTCACTAGGAAAAACAACGATGACGACTATTACCACCGTCTCCTTCCCTGTCCCGTAATGGAATAACCACCGTCACGCGAGCGCAGTACAATTGTACCACTCTTTTGCCTATTATTGCTGCTATTATCGCCCCCTCTTCTTTGCGGACGACAAACTGGATGGTGTAAAAAACAAGCGCGCGTTTTTCAATGACCCTTGTGTTAATCGCCGCGTGATCGATCGTCAATGAATATGCAGGTTCTCGGACATAAAAACAGCGGAAATGAATATGCAGGAAAATATCGAGACTCAGGAAAACACGGCTAGCAACAATGACGGTCTTAACTGTTTCTACGGTGCGCGCGGATAACGGTATCTAAACGTACACCTAATGGCGGGTGCTGTTCGCTCGTTGGACCGTCGCAAGTATGTCGTCGCCACGACACTGATAATTCGTCGGATATACGTGCCACGCGGCCAAAAAAATCATCGATTTCCGTCGCGACGATCGCGTCTATCAATTACGACCTTCCGGCGAAAAGACGCGTATCACTAATCAATTACGTCACACATACACACACGCACACACATACGCTCAATTTTTAAATTAAGTTAATAAAGAAAATGACATGGATAAATGTCATTTCCTTTAACACAGTTCAATGATATGCATGAATTTAAACCTACAGATATAAATGTATAAAAAATATAAACTTGCGTATAGTTATATAATGATACTGGATGAGCGAAAAGTCCAAAGAGCGTTTCTTTCCATTACCAAGGATAAAGAAGATTCAACACAAATCGTAACTTTGATAAGAGCGATGTTTATGGTAATATGGTGATGCGAGCGATATTTCGCAACTCGATATGTATCGAAGTTTCACAGGCGTATCATTGGATATGTATTTACTTGTTCTTTACGATGACATACGAAAGTAAAGACATCCGTCGAATGGCAAATTTTATCTAAAACTTTACAATTACAATTACATGAGGCCTTACAAACTACACCGATTATATTTTGCTTTCACATCCATTCTCTATAATGTACACTTGCTTGTTTTAACTTACCAAAATGCTACGCAACAAAATAATGTCAAAATAAAAAATATCCTAAGAACTTTCACTTACATGAACGAATCAATATGTGACGATGTATTCGGATTGATAGAAAGCTGAAGGTTCTTTCTTTAAAGTGCATTTAATCTACCGTTAAGTTATATTACTTGAAATGTAAAAATACCTCTAATTTGATGAGTTGTGCTACACAGTCGATCCTTCATTAAGTCTTTGGTCTGCTCTTTATAGCTGCATTGCTGAACTGGTGAAATAGTTTAAAACGAGACAAGTATATTCTGTCTCTCTCTATTATTATACCAGTTTAGCAGTGCTACCATAAAGAACAGATCACTTGTATCCACAATGTTAGGATCTCAGAGTTGTTGACTGGATGTAAAAGTTCCTAGAAATTACTAGGATTACTAGAAATTCCAGTATTTTCAAGCATCTACCAACATAAGTACTCGATCCAAAATCTAACATCGCGGACACAAGACTTTAAGCCCGTATCAAACCACGGATTAGGATTGAGATTGCATTAAAATTTGGCCAATCAGAGCAAGACTCGCTAAACTTGAGTTTAGTGAATTTTGTTCTGATTGGTTAAATTTCAATCCAATCTCGACTCTAATTCATAATTTGATGCAGGCTTCACGCTCGTTATTTTTCATTAATTCCGAAGTCTCCGCTACAAGCCGTTATGCACGACATAGTGCAGAGAGTACAATGAACCGTTGCACTAAGTGCTGCACGAACCTGACGGCTACGATTCAACGGAGATTTGAGCTGTCTGGCTACGAAATGACACAGGAGGTAAAGAAAACTAAAAAGAAGAATTCACAGAAGAATACAAATGCGTCGCAGAAGGAACAGATACTCGTAAAAGAAGAAGGAGGAGGAGGAAGCACACAGAAGGAAAATGTTAATCACAAGGAGGAGAGCAAGGTGGAAAAGTCGAACAAGCCCGTCGAGTCGTGAGTAAAAAAACCCGGAATTGTTACATTATTATCTTCCGAGAGAAAGATTCCTGCGTTAGATCTGATTCATGCAAAAGTTCGTTCCATTTTATTAATCAAAACATACGCGTAACATTTATCTCTTTAAAATATAATCAATCAATTAAGTATGCGGCACATTTGTTCGATGACTTATATCTCTTTGGTAGCTGCATGATTCCACGTAGAAATAAAAATAAGATAGAAAATAAGATAAGATAAGATAGACTATTAATGGTACAATCTGCCTACTTTTCCATAGGAAATATGGGCCTGCTATATCGTTTCCATACCAAAGGATATGGTCTAGATCTGTTTTGGTACTCGGAATATTGTTGGTATTTTGGTACAACATTAAGCAAGGCAAGGAAGTGTCGCTGGCGAAGCAGAAAGACGTGCTGATAAGTCGTACGCAGAATGTTGAGTGTTCCACAGATTATAGAGCCGAGTTAGAAACATATCCTGGCTGCGTGCCAGAAAAATGTGGCAGAGTTGTTACAGACAAGCTAGTCTCAGCGACAGAGGTTGATGTTTTGTTGAAACTAGCTAAAAATGGATTAGACTTAGCTGGCTCTGACGGCGGTGCTAGTATACTGGATCTTCATTCAGGAGCTCTTAGTAAGGGCCAAGGATTTATCAATGTCTATAAGCTGCCAGCGGCGAAAAAGATATTTAATAACGTGGATTTAGCAATATATAGGTACCAATTTGTCGTTATGTGTCTAGAAGATAGGAGAATATCATTGAACAGAGGAATATGTACTACGTTTAATTCGCAGGATAGTTAAAACGAAGATACAGCATGCGGTAGCACACAACTTTGGCGTGGATGTAGATAAAATATATTTAACCAAGCCAACGTTTTTCTCGCAAATGACCAACAAGCCCGCAAGGACCATACATGACGAATATTGGCATCCGCATGTCGACAAGGTTCGTCTTGAAACACATGAGATGTACCGATTTCCACGACTACAACCGTTTTATTTCTTCACAATTTATTTACTGAAATACTTTTTCCATCGTGCTTCAGAGTGTGTTTGAAGAGACGAAAGCTGCATCTGTAAAAGCTATATGTAAGATTATATGTTTCAGGAAACGTACGAATCGTTTCATTATACATCGTTAGTATATTTGAGCGACTACAGCAAAGATTTCGAAGGCGGCCGGTTTATATTTATGAACAAGAACAACGTCAATTCGACGATAGAACCGAGGAAAGGTAAATTGCGTACACACACACACACACACACACAAGCGTAACACGTGCGCAATCGTAAAAGTCAATTCAAGTGGCAAATAACAAAATGCGATATTTCCAGGTAGAGTGTCGATTTTTACATCGGGCAGCGAAAATTTGCACCTTGTCGAGAAAGTGAAGTCCGGCACTCGCTACGCCCTGACTGTGTCCTTCACATGCGACAAGAATTCCGCGATATCAGATTCGCATTTTGCCGACAAGCAGAATTAATATCTCTCATCGATATTTCGTCCGTGTTGTTTATATCGTCGCGTCAATACCGTCGACGTACAAACCTTTCTGTTCGCGCGTTAACGTGCACAATTGCTCATCGTTTTAGATAAATGGCATTTTTATCAGTAAAATCATCTCACTTCCGCAACCGAGCAGTATTTTAACAGTATTAAGAAGTATCCATCGTGAATAAAGGAAGTATCGTTTGTACGTGTTTAGTCTTGTTTCTAAAAATACCCGATAGAAGTGATCGTCGACGAGTCGAATTAAAACGAAAGTGTATTGGATAAATATTATATATCAACTGTACAACGTGCTTTTTCGAACTTTTGTTAACGTTATTCCCTTCGACGCATAACACGCACAAACGGAAAATAACGAATACACAGCGTGTTTAATGTTCTTTTCTCTTAGTTCGTAGAAAGTACAACGTTTTCGCTGTTTAAAGACGCATCTCCTTTCCTTTGTTATAATCGTTACTTTGTAATAATTGGTAACGCAATGTAAAATATATGGAATTATTATACATTTTGTGACTAATTATACGAGACACTGGATAACATTTTAATAATAATATTTAGAAACGATGAAAGACAGAGAGAGAAAGAGAGAGGATGAAAGAGTTCGCCATTGATTAATAGTTGCGTCGATACATTTGCGCTTTGGTATCATTCATCATTGTCTATTTACAATTTCATTGTACGATGAAAAGGCGTGGGAGGCTCTCTTTTGTTAGATGGCGGCTAAAGGAAATGATGCTAGTCCGTATAAAACCATTACCGATTAATCTTATTAACTGGAACAAAGGAATGCGCGATAGATCTCAGTTCTCTGGATAATTTAAATAAATAGATACAGCGTATACATATGAGAACTTAACGACAGATTCGACGAGTCCTCGTTCCGAAACCATATCGCAAACAACATACGATACATTGCCTTGAAATAACTTCTTCAAGTAATCCTGTAAACTTAAATACTACGTAGATGATTCTGTGTAACTTGAACTAATATGTGGTAACGTAGAAATACTATCATGAGAGGCTATCGCATCCTCCATTTTGTACGATCCCGCTTTTTCTCGCGGAATACAGGAGACCCTCTGACATTGATACTGGAATACAATTACGAAAGGCATATATGCTAAAAAGACTTCCTCCCTACACGAATCTAGTTCGAAGTAAATCGATCGTTCAATTTTACTTCGATGTCGCGCGCACGTGGCACATTCCCGAATTTCAATTGAAATTTCGCGCGGCGTTCTTAAGCAACAGTACGTTCCTCAAACTACGCTCGAAGGATGTTCGCGATCTTCTTCGCGCTTTCTCCCAACAGTATCGTCCTGTGATTACCGTGCACCTCTTCTATTCGCACCGGTTGTGTGCAAGACTGAAAAAAAAAACGAAAATTCGTAAATACTCAACTAGCGAGAGTAATTTCGATGAAAATTCGTCCGACTTTCGTCAACGACAAAAAAGGAGAAGGAAGAGCTGTGGAAAAAAAATCGGATGAACAAGATCTCAGGAAAGACTTTAGGAGAGACAGAAATCTCACCTTGGACAAACCGTAGTCCTTCTCCATAGATGTAAAAGTATCTATAGCCTTGACTAACGTGACCGGTCCGTCGAACTTTCTGTTGGTATCGTAGATCGTAACGGCTGCTAATTTCTTGAACAAGTGATATCCAGCGATCTTTAGATCATCGCCCGAGAACTGCGCTTCGCCGATGACCTCCACCAATTTGTTGAACATCTCCACGTCCGTTTTTGTTGTTTTCAGGATTTTGTATGCCTGAAATGAAAGGAGTCGCGGTTAGCGAAACAAACCGTCTCCGTGCGGATTTTCGTATCTCGCGATTATCCGGATTAATTTCCCCCTCGGGTAATAATGAAATAATTGTATAATCACGGAAAGTATTTTTTCCTCTCAACACACACACAGAGTGTTTTAAAAAGGTAAAATCCGAGGTATTAGATGGTCGTGATGACTCACCTGACCGAAATTGATGCTCCTATTAAATTGTATCATGAAGTATGCCAACGCCTTCATGCAGCTGTCTGAAGTGAAATCGTCGTCTATGTTTATTTTGCCGATCTTCTCTACCTGCTTCAGTAAGTAAACCGGCGAGCCGTCGATCAGCGTCAAGATCACCTTCTCGCCGGCGGACTCCAACTGCAGACCCATCTCGAGGGCGATGCTCGTGCCGAACGAGTAGCCGGCCAAGTGGTACGGCCCTTTTTTCTGGACCTTCTTGATGGTTTCCACGTAGAATTCCGCCATCTCCTGTATCGTATCGTGGGGCGTTGCTTCGACACTCTGCAGACCCCACAGCGGCCTCTCCAGTTCCTTGGCCATGTGCTCGAGCGAGTTGGTGAGACCTTCGATCGCGTGAACGATAAACAACGCCGGTCCGTTGGAGCTCTTCGTCTTTAGACGTACGAGAGCTTCCTTGGGCAGCAACTCGTCGCTTGGCCACTGCATCAGCAGCATTTCGTTGGCAGAATTGACGAGAGATGCGTCCGCAGCGATAGAAGACAGCTGCTCCTTGATGGCCTCGCTGTTGCTCGAGGACATGACCTGCAGCTTGGCGACCGTCAGGGTGCGGATGTCCTGCGCCGACAGCACGATGTCGTAATTCCTCTCGAGGACCTGCTTGATCTCCGTGCCCATCAGAGAATCCATACCCATGTCGGCCAGGCTAATGTCGGGATTCATCGAGCTCATGTCCTTGATGCCGAGGATATTGGCAACCGCTGCCACGAGATCCATCTTGCTGTCGCCATCCGTGGATTTGTACTTCTCAGCTATCACTGTGGAAGCCACCACCGGGTGCTGTTGCTGCAGGAAGTCGTCTATGGTTGCGAGGCAGCTCGAAATGAGCTGCGGCTGCGTGCCGCTTATTATGATGTCGTTACCACCCATTGTTTCTGGAAGAAACGGACGTCGTGAGAGGAACAGATTTGTGGAAAAGTGGAAGTCACTCTTGAAAAATAATCATAACATAACATCATCCCGTTGTTCGTTACCAGTTGAAAAAAGTAACTCGTTACCGTTAAACTCACTTTGTAAGATAACTCGTTGCCGTATAAATTTATCCAAAAAGTAACGAGTTCAATGACAATTTTCGTTACTTTTACACGATCTAGAATGGCAGCTCGCGATCCAAAGAAACGAAAAAATCAATTCATCGAGAAAACGGTCAATACATTGTTGGACAAAGCTGTGCCTTTGCCAAATAATAACCGAATAGAAAACGGGGGGGGGGGGGGGNNNGGGGGGGGGGGGGGGGGATTCTGTTCATTCGACAATTACCAACAATTAAGCCGACGTCTCCGATAGCACCCCACTGAATCGCGAGGCCTTTGAAGCCGTGCCGCTGTCTGTCCTCCACTATCCTCTCCATAGCCGAATTCGCGAAACCGTAATTGGTTTGACCGATGTTGCCGCGACCGCTCGATATGGACGAGAACACAACGAAGTGGTCCAACGGCACACGGGCCTTCCTGGACACCACGTCCAAGTGTCTCGTCGCGTCAATCTTCGGCTTCATCACCGTCCTGAAGTCGGCCTCCTGCAAGTTCTCGATCAAAGAGTCGCGCAACACGGCCGCCAAGTTAAATACGCCGGCCACCGGTGCCAGTTTCTCGCTCTCGGCGAACAGGCGTTCAGCGCCCGACAACGTCGTCGTGTCCGCCGTGGAGACGACGATCTTGACGCCGCTCTCCCGCCAGCGACGCACGCACAGCGCCTGGTAACCGGTGCGTATGCCTGAGCGCGACACGAGAACGATGAATTTGGCGCCACGCGCGACCAACCAGTTGGCCAACTCCAGGCCGAAGCCGCCGAGGCCGCCGACCAGTACGTACGACTTCTTCGGGTCCATGTAAGTACGCGGTACGGCGAGGACGACCTTCGGCGACGGCTGCACGAGCCTCTTCGGCTCCTCGTCGCGGATCTTCAGCAGCACCTTGCCGATATGCTTGCCCGTCGCCATGAATCTGAATCCTTCCTCGATCTGCTCCTCCGAGAACACGGTAGTGGGCAACGGCCGCATCGCGCCGCTCGCGATCCCCTCCGACATGAGTTTCGCTAACTGCATCTTCTCTCCACGCTCCTCGAACAGCACGTCCAGCAATATGCCGTGGAAGGTGGTGTTCTTCAGGAAAAAGGACATGCCCAGGCAGCTGTCGTTCGACATATCGTACTTGCCGATCTCCAGGAAGCGACCGTCCTGCGCGAGACACCGTACGCTGGCCTGTAGCTTCTCATCCGCCAGCGAGTTCAGCACCAGGTCGACCCCGCGTCCCCGCGTCTCCGTGAAGATCATCTGCTCGAAGCTGGTGTCGCGGGAATTGCCGATGTGCCTGTCGTTCAGCTGCGGGAAGGTCCGCTTCAGGTACTCCCTCTTTTGCGGTGTGCCGACGGTGGTGAATACGGTGCAACCGGCGTGCAAGGCAACAGAGATCGCCGCTTGGCCGACGCCGCCGCTGCCGGCGTGAATCAACACACTCTCACCCGGCTTCAGTCGACCGCGTATGAACAGGGCGTAGTAGCTGGTCGAGTAGGCGATCGGTATCGTCGCTGCCTGCTCCAGCGTCCACTCGTCGGGCACTTCCCAGAGAAAATGGGGATCGGCGAGCAGGGTGGTGGCCAAACTGCGACACAGGCACATTCCCATCACTCTACGGCCGTCCTCGGTTCTCCCGGAGAATTCCAAACCCAATACGCACTCCTCCGTGGCCAATTTCCCCGGCAAAGCGTTCGGCGGTAGTTTGCCAGTTGCCAACATGATATCTCTGCAATCCGCGTAAGTTTCCATCACACCTCTCCGTTCGCAACGAAAGATCTCGCGGCGAGACTTACCTGAAGTTCAACGACGCGTAATATACGCTACACAGTGGCGCTTCGTCGGACCGCTGCTGCTGACTCAACGGACTCTCGATCCATTTCAAGCTGCTCAAATCACCTCTAGTCAGCGTGTTCACGTAAGCGTGCTTGCTTTGCACGCACGGCACGTCGTTCCGTCGGTCCATTCGCAGATGCCGATAGCTACCCCACACTCCTGTGCACAGCACGTTCGCCATCAGTCCTTTGTCCAGTTGCTTCGCGTAGAACTCCACGTTCAAGCCGAACTTGGGAGCTTTCTTGTCCCGGATGAAGACGTAGCGCGTGTCGCCGTTCTCTTGCCGGATGCACGTCATCAGGCCGACTAAACCTGCGTGAACCAGAGACGCATTTTTCACATGTTCGCGATGCGTCTGCTGAAAAAGATAGTTCGAACAAAAGGTACGATTCCTTTTGCATAATTCCCCGTGACCTTACCGAGCAACTCTTCGCCCTGGGACACCAGGATCACTTCTCGTTTCTCTTCGTTTTTCAGCGCCGCTTTCACGTCTTCCAACCAAGAGAGATTTCTTTCTGTGACCTGTACAACGATCGGTTCTTCTCTCTTCGGCAACCGTTTCTTCAGCAACACGTAAATATTTCCCGAGGCATCGGCCTGTGTGCCGGCCAATACCAGATCCGTCGTCTTTAGCGCGGTCTTCAAGTCGACCTGAGCGAATTGAGCCGCGTCCTCTTCCAGAAGAATAAAACCGTTGGGTCTCAACGCAGCCAGCAGATTTTTCAGTACGATGTACGACTGATCGGACAATACGTCTGCCGCTACAACGAGATGAACGTCTTGGGCGGGTGGTGTGCTCTTCACGTCTCGCTGCACAACCTCCACGTTCAAATTCATTTCACCGAGACTCGCCGTGTAATCATCCGATGAAACGGCGGCTATTTGTGCATTGACAGACTGAAACGAAAAGAAATCACGATTCTCTTGTAAACCGTTCGAGTAAACATGCGTTGTGACATTTGGCAGTTTACATAAGAGCGAGAATTCCAGTATAATATATTGTTATAAATTATTACACAATAATATCGACGATATTAATATTTAAATGGCACCAGAACACCCGTGGTTTTGGCTCGCGTCATGGCCCGGAAATTCCTTACATTTCGTTTCAATCAAAAGTGCGAAATAATAACGCGAGTGAAATGTTGTTAATCAAACTGCCATACTCACGCTAACTAAAGACTCGCCAGAGAGCGAATCGAGCAGGAGAGGCGTTAGAAGATTCCCGGCGGCTCGCCCGTCCGCGACTTCCACCATGTTCATCTTGATCGCTTTGGTGTTCTCGCAAACGATCTGCAGCAGCACAGTGATCGCGTGCATCCTCGCTTTCGGGTCCTTCTCGGCGAAGCCGGACGGATTTTCATACGGCAGGAATACGGACCGCTCGAGTATGGGGCTAGGTTGGTTCTGCTGTCGCCGCGGCGCTGGAGACGACTTCAAGCCTCGCAGTTCGATGCCGCCCGACTTCACGATATTGACGTTCTTGTAGCGATACACCGGCAACAAGCCGGCGTCCTCGTCCGGCAACCTCTCGACCAGTCGTCTGTGACCGATGGGGTCGATCGCGGCGTACTGGAGGCTCGACGGCAGATACATCAGCCTGTGGCTGGTGGACAACAGGCTGAACTGGAGCATGGTGTCCATGAAGGAGACCCAATCGTTGACCCAGCGTAGTTCGCCGGCGATGCCGTAGTTGTCGCTGCTCTTGATCCCCTGGAAGACGTCGCGATACTCGTAGCCGCGCAGCCTCAGTTCCGTGTAAACGTCTTTGGTGTTCAACGGCAAGACGTCCTTCTGATCGTCGGCCGAGAGCGCCGGCAACGTCAGCTGGTCCGCCTTGATATCGGTGGACGCGCGAATGTGCCCGCTGACGACGACCGTGCCGCCTTCGCAGATCTCGAAGTCACCGCTACCCTGGAAGATGTTGATCGAGAATCTCACCGAGCCCTCCTTCGGCATGATGGTGGCGCGTTGGAAGCGCACGTTTTCCAACACCACCGGCAGCCGCTCGAAGTCCGCTCCGCGCAGCTTCGCGAACGTCTTCCACACGAGCAGCATGTAGCCGGTGGCTGGGAAGATGACGCGCCCGTCGATCTGGTGTCCCGCCAGGTACGCGTCCGTCTCCTTCGAGAGGTCCACTTGGACGATGGTCTCTCCCGACTGACTCGACGTCTTCCCGAAGGACGCCACTTCCCACGCGATGGAGTGGTCCCACTTGACGAGCGAGCCGATCATCGGGGTGCCGCGGCCAACGGGGAAGTTCACCGGAGGGTAGAGCTTGGCGATGTCCGGTTGCACGCCGGCCGTATAGAGTTTGCCTATGCTGGACAGGAGGAAGGCCAGGTTGTTCGAGTGGTCGCGTTTGTGCAGGCCGATGTTCGTCACCGTTTGCGGCAGCGACCTGCGCAGAATCGCCTGCAGCAGGCAATGCGGCGCGATCTCGATCGTGATCGCGTTCGCCGGGATGTGGGCGATCGCCTCTTGGAAGAGAACCGGCGACAGCAGATTGTTCACGTGATACGCGGACGAGCTGAACTGCGCGAGCGGACTGGCCCACGCGGACTCCGGTATCGAGCTGGAGATCCACTTGGCCGAGCGCCGTTTCGGGCTCGGTATGATCTCGTCGAGGGAGGCGCGCAGCTTCGGCCCCGCTAACGAGATGTGTTTGCTGTGGAAAGCGACGCCGGAGCTGTTGACTATCTTGGCGAAGATGTCCTTGCTCTTCAGCTCCTCCACGAACGCCCGTACGGACTCGACCGGGCCGGAAATGGTGACCGAGTCCGCGGCATTGTGGCACGCCGGGGTGACGTCGGCCGGGCACATCTTCCTCGCGTCCTCCCAACTGAGGCCGACCGCCGCCATAGAGCCTGGCTCCAGTTTCGCCTCCATGATCGCCTTGCCTCTGCAGTAGGCGGCCAACACGGTCTGTTCGGGCGTGAACGAGCCGTCGGCGTACGCGCAGCCCAATTCTCCGACCGAGTGGCCGACGATGCCGTCCGGTTGGACGCCGATCAGCGTCATCACGTCGACCAGGGCGACCTGGATCGCCGCGATCGCCACGAACGTCTCCATCACGTTCTCAGCTGTGCCGCCGTCGATGCCGATGATGTTCATCAGGTCGATACCGTAGGGTTTCAACGCGTCCGCGCACCGTCGCAGACTACGTTGGAAGGTCTCGATGCCGAGCAACGCCCGGCCCATACCCGGCCACTGCGTGCCCATGCCGGAGAAGATGAACCAGACGGGACGTCGCTCCTCCTGCCGCGACACCTCGACGATCTCACGCGTGCCATCGACGCTGAGTACTTCGCAGCCGCGGACTCTGTGCCCCGGTATGTCGCTCTTGTGCAAGGCGTGCAGCAGCGCGTGGAACTCGTCGTCCTTGCGATGCTGCAGCGCCTCGTCCAGCAACGCGCGCACGGCCTCCTCCGTGCGACCCGACACTGCGATCAGCTTCTTCAGCTGCGAGGTGTCCGGCGCCGATGGCAGCTTCGGCTTCGGGTTACTGCGCAGAAGTATGTGCGCGTTCGCGCCGCCGAAACCGAACGAATTGATCGCCGTGAGTCCGCCGTTCCACGGCGTGGCCTCGTCGACCACGCGAATACGGCCCTCGACCAAGGCGGGTATAAGCGGGTTCGGAGTGTGGAAGTGCAAGTTCGGGGGAATCACGGCCGCTTCCATCGCGATCAACACCTTGGCGAGCGCGCACAGGCCGCTGGCGGATTCCGCGTGTCCCATGTTGGACTTGACCGAGCCGAGCAGCAGAGGTGTCTTCCTGTCTTTGCAGAACAGCCGGTCGATGGAATTGACCTCCTCCGGGTCGCCCACCTTCGTGCCAGTCCCGTGCGCCTCCACGTAAGTCACGTCCGCGGGGCTGAGGCCCGCCTCGGAATACACCTCGCGCATCAGCTGGTTCTGCATGTCACCGCTCGGGTAAGTGATACCCTGCGACTTGTTGCCGTCCGTATTCGTCTTGGTGTGCACCACCGTGGCGTAAACCCTGCGCGCGTCCTTTGCCCTCTGCAAGTACACCGCCACCACCGCCTCCGCCCTCACGTACCCGTCGCCAGTTGCGTCGAATGTTTTGCACTTGCCGTCCATGGACAGCATGTTCAGCTTGTGAAATTGCAGTGCGTTTGTGGGCTTCAGCAGGAGATTCAGCCCGCCGACGATCGCGCCGTCGCACTCGCCGGCGCGCATCGCCGTGGCCGCCTGATGCAACGCGAACAAGGACGACGAGCAGGCCGTATCCAAGGAATAACTCGGCCCGGTGAAATCGAACGCGAAGGAGATCCTGTTGGCGAACATCGCTCGGCAACACCCGATCAATCCGTATCCTGCGAACAGACGCGACTTTAATAACAGCTTCGAAAATGTCAAAAAAGGCAAGAGAATCGATATTTGCAACTTGAATGAGAAAATCGCGTCGAGCCAGGCAGTTTAAAGACGAACCGTTTACGAGATCCGGGTCTTTCGTCCAGAACTCGTCTGACTCCGAGCTGGAGACACCAACGAACACACCGGTGCGTGTGCCCTTCAGGGCGGACGGATTGATGCCTGCGTCAACGATCGCTTCATACGTGCTCTCCAACAATATGCGAAGCTGCGGGTCCATCACGTTTGCTTGCTTCGGATGCACCCCGAAGAACGAGGCGTCGAAGCTGGTGATGTCTTTCACCTTGGCGGACCTTTTCGGCAGTCCGTAAATACCGGTCGTCCAACGGCGCTCGTCTTCGGAGATCATGTCTACTCCCTTCATCAGGTTTTGCTTGAACTCCTCGATATTCTCCGATTCGGGTAGGCGACCTGAAAAAAGAGCGCCGCCGCCGGTCTGAGGTCGACACTTCTTGGCCAAAAGTCATCACTTCAAGTTGGTACAGTTTTACGATGTTCCAATAGTGAAATAATCATAAATTGCTATCATTTATTATTCTTTTATCGGTAAATGTGATGCTAAAAATATTGCTCAAAGGTAAACTTTGGTCAAAACTGTCAAAAAACATATTTTATTATTTTAATTAATGATGTTAGCATTATATATATTTAACCCGCCAAAACACGCTTTGATAAGGCGCTTTTGAAGCTCACCTGAAATGCCCGTGATGACGATGTCATTGTCGAGGGAATACGGTACGCCATTGGTGACCACGGGTTCCCGCGTCACGGGACTGTTGACAGTTTCGAACTGTGCGGGCATCTTCGTCGAATATAGTCTGGAAAAGTCTATTGAGAATCCTTCCTTATCTCCGTGAGATTCTCACCTGCAAAGACAGAATCGGCTGAAGGCACGACGCTTAGCTATCGTGTCCGTATTATCGATTTTTGATGGTGCGGAGGAATCCGCGAGAAATCGTGCGAATAAACCGGATCATTCCCGCGTGTTCGCAGTATCGAGATCTGAGCTGCACGTCGGAGCAGCTCTAGCCGGGGCTCTAGTCGGTCAGCCCGTGAACAATTACTATGCGCAGTTACGCTCAATTGGAGCATAGCATGCCTAATTGAGTAATCTCAATTGAATAATTTTTCACTCGGAGATAAACCAATTCTGCTATGATTGTTCGCGGGTGTCGCTCTTTCTTCTTCTTCTTCTCGTTGCCCCTCCTGTCCGTCTCTATCTCTCTCACACCTCATACATACACGCTCCGAATACGTAATAAAGTGACGATGACCCGAGGTCGATACGACATTTGTATTATGTCACATCGTAAACGATACTCGCATAACTATTTGCATTGCAGAAAACATTAGCACGGTGACACTGTGGAAAAATGACGCAGGTGTTTGAGATGTATAGGATGGTCCGGAGCTATCGGATATTCGTCTTCTCTGGCGGAACTGAGTCGGCAGGGAGTCTGTTCTGTGACTTAATAATGTTCTCTTATCGTTGCCGTTGCGCTAATTTTCCATCACGCGTTATTTACGAAATGTAACGATGATGACATTGTCATTAAAAGATAAGTCTACGGAAATAATTGTTTGCATCGTATCTTTAGGATTATTAACTCGCATTTGTAACGCGTCGTAAAAACTTCGTTTCACAAATTGAAACCGATTTAAAAATACGGAAACCCGAAGGTATTCTAAAGAAACACACGAGTCCGCCCCGTTGATTCGATCGATTGTGCTACCGCTCGCAAATATTCACATGAAACGTGATATTCGGGCAAAATCGTGTGACACGTGTTAATCATTCTCAGTAACATTACAATAATATGTGATACATAATACGGACGATAAATGACGTTTGTCACATATTGGCTCGCAAAAATATATATATCATCGTCGATGTAATGCTTATATCGAAAGTTGACGGAAAGTCACGCTCGGGTGCTGTTATCTTTTTCGAAATTTCTTCACTCTTTTACGAGCATGCAATTTCTTATTCACATTCGGCATACAGAAACTAACTGCGCGATAAAAGTTCTCGTAAAATATCGTCAAAAATGTTACATCAATTCCGCGATAAAAAGGCGCTATGAATATTGAATACGCATTGAATATTTTTTAGGGAGTATCTTATCTAACTATCATACGACGTGGTGGTCGGATGATGACGCAACGAACGACTCCCAATGGCAATGCGACGATTTTATCGACAATGTGAAATTGTCAGATAACAAGAAATATTACTTATCATTTGCTAAGTTACATCATAAGATGTTGAAACTGGAGTAGATTTAGCGCCGGGCTAACATGGACAGGGCGTACCAAGAGACGCATTCCACCGCGCGATTATTAAAGGAATATCAAATCTAGGTAGAACAGTTGAACAGAAGATGACGATAAAGTTAAAATGATAAGACAATGATCGAAAAATGTTTATAGTAATTTTTTTATCATCGATTTATAGTAATTTAATTCTCAGCGATTTTCCATTCTGCTTGGAAAGTCAATGACGAATTTGATAAGCATCGATAATGCAAAAGTGAACTTGAAAATGTTATATAAATATTGATAGGGCTATTTTAGTTTTTCTATTGTCATGTAGATTTTCTGTACATAAATATTGACGCGACTATTTCTATTTTCATATTAATTTTATGTAAACAAGCATGATATAAGTGTAAATGCGAACGCAATGATATTCTATATTATTATTCCAACCGAAAAATTAACCGATTTTTTGGCGCACTTTTCATATTTTTACAGGCTTCTAAGTTTAATTGAAAAGGTATAAAAATGTTCATTGAAATTTTCTTGATTGCAGCATTGACACAGTCGATATGTATAAGCTGTGGAATTTCCTTATCAGGTAAATATTATGCTAACTGACAGGTAGAAATGTCAATTTTGAAGTTTTTAATCGTTTTCGCCTCCCTTGAGCAATATACTGATTTTCGCGTGTATTTTTACTGTGTATTCACTGTGTGAAAGCATTTACAATTCTGTGCAGTCAATACGGCGTAAATTTTGCAGGAAGAAGTCAGTATTTTTGCGGTAAAATTTACAAGTATGATATCGAAGGTATCATTACGGATGACGAACTGATTTCTTCAAATTTCGCCACGATATCTCAAAGTGACGATGACGCACATACACGATGTCTACGACATGCTGCAAATCGGTAAATAACGGATTATCCTTGAAGCTGTAAGGTATACGCTGTGGTAAAACACAATGGTTCACGAGCCAGCTTCGTGAAAGAAACATACAAGCAAATACATGCGTCACGTTTATCTCGCATGGCAACTATCTTCGCATTCAATTTAGCGATATGTTTTCATAGTTTTCCTATATTGTTTATGGTGTTTTCCGCGTTTTTAGAATTTCGAATTAATGAATTTGATCAATTTAAGAACGAGCAGGCATTCTTCGCGGACGCAGGAGACGCTTGAATTTTCGCCCGTACGCGTTTCGCTTGTATCTCTTATTTCGATGAGAAGTTACAAAACAGTTCCGCTGTAAATCATCATTATATAAAAAAACATCATAAATTGTATCCTTTTTGTTATTGTTTTTGTTTGATTCTTGTCATTCTTTCGAAAATCAGTACATATAGTCTGTCTCTCTCACTTTGTAATAAATAACCCGAATTCTCCATGAATCTCTAATCATTCATCGATTCATGTATTTATTATTTATATATTCATATTTTATTTTATACATGAGAGAAGCAAAATTATTTTTATCAAATGGTGACAAATAGTCAACCAATATGAAATACAAAACTAACTATTGCGTCAGATCGTAAATAATTTTCAACTATATAAATAGGCTATATAACTATATTAACTATATAAGGTTTCAGGTATCATGCGATCTTATTAAAACGTATATGGAGAAATGAAATTAGCTCCTATAGTTAAAAACTACCACAGGTAAAAATTGATTGTCCATATAATACAATTGAAATTTAATTAATTTAGGTAATTTTGTGTCCCTATACCTGTAGTTTTATGTTCCCACAGTTAAAAACTAGGTCTGGTAATTAAATTTCAGTTCCATTTCAGACAGTTTATTCTTTTTCTGTATATTTATATATTCAACTAATTTATAAATCAATAAGTATTTATTAACCTCAGTTTGTTTAGATAAAATGGTTCATTTGCACTTCTATTAAATGATACTTTTAAATTTCTGAGAATTCACAAATTTTTATGCTACGACGCAGTTGCTTTCAACTGAGCGATATTTTGCTGGTAAATTTTAAGACGATATTAAAGAAAACAATTGTAAGAATCTGGCAGTGTAATTTTATAATTGTAAAACAATACTTAAAATTATTGCGCGCAATTTCGACTATTCTTATTTTTTTAAGAATTTGTCGATTTCGAATCATTATAGTTTTTTTATCATTTACGGTAATTTCTTTTTCTTTTCTCACTCATTTATTCACTCTCTCTCTCTCTCTCTCTCTGTCTCCCTCTTCTTTTTATCGAAACCATCGTTGTACTACAAGATTTATTATTAAGATAATGTTCGTAATCACGTGACGATTAGCAGGATCGCAAGGTGCATTTGCACCCGCAAGCGTGATGATAATAGGAACCTCAGACAGTATGACGCGTGCGTAACGACAAACAAAGAGTCGAGTGTCGGACGTTTCTCCTTGCGCTTGACAGTGCGTTAATCATGCGAGCAAACCATCGCGAACGTCTCAATATTTTGTGTCATGCTTAAAATTCATACATGCATACACATATACACATCTGTTTATGATTCCATTCTATATTCTTCATGAATAAATTCTATTGTACTGACATGTATATCATCGTAAATGACAAATAGTATTTAAAATTAAGCGATTTAAAAACGGTTTGTTAGCATCGCAAAGTGACGAGTTTGAAAATGCTCGCGCAAGTAATGCGATCGACAGCGAGATCGAAAACCAATTGTTCCTACACACGCGGAATTAATTATTTATTGGCTCTCGTGTCTTTGATGAGCGTTGTTCGTCGCTCGATTAATCGTTCGACTTGTTAAGCCTCATCAAATCGTGCCATTAGAAATAAGCCGCGGCAAATGAACGTGTTATACGTGCCTCACGTGACCGGGAACCGATGGAAACTCTCGGGATGCGCCCACGCATCCACGAACGCGTGCGTGTGACAGTAATTAGTAATTATCGGCGGATTAATCAATTAAATATACTCTTGAAGAAAAAAGAAACTTTATACAAAAATCACGATTTCAGTTTAAAACGAGAAATGCTCGCGAGGGATGTCGCGAATTCGCCGCTCTATTTTGTTCACATGTGGATTTCTTCGTCTGAATTTAAGAAGTCAGCACACGAACAGTTCCTGTATTATGATCCATCGAAAACTTACGCATTTTCGCGAATCAAACCCTAAACGTGCGAATAGATAACGGAACTTTATTTCTCCTTTGGTTTCAAGTGCAAGCTATTATACGTTAACGAAATGTCGAGTTCAAGATATCTTATCGTTTCGTTAAAGATCTTATTCGTTTCGAACCTTCATTATACGAAGATATTTTGAATAAATTGTCCACTTGTAGTCGACTTGTAAAATGCAAGAGGACGAACATACAATTCAAATGTTCACCAAAAGTGTTCGACTTACAAGGAATCTTTGTTGGAAAGTATAATATAATGCGCAAAACAAACTTAAAAGATAAAAGATATAGTGTATATTTAACGAATTAGTAATACGAGCTTAATATATTCTTTGCGTCAGTTCTGTATAAAATTGTGATAAATATACAAATGAGGCAAACAATTTTTTTAAATTTTTCCTCTATAAATTAAATAAAAGTTATAGATAACAGGTCATTATATAATCGCGATATGTTAGTGAAAATATAAATGTAGCTATATATATGTGTGCGCGCACACACGCACACGCACACACACACACACACACACACAATATATATATATATATATAATATATAAATACGACTGAACTTTCTCAGGGGGATCATTACATTACTTTGCTTTTAGCCACGTACTACTACTACTAAAATCACGGATACATTTTTGGCTTCGTAAAACCTTAAATATTTATACCAGTCCAAAGTCAACTCATTAGTCTTTCTAATCATTCTTATCGTGTTAACATATAATACAATACACAATGTGATAAAGTCAGGCTGTCAAAATATAGTTCGATCGAATAATGAAGTCGTAATGTGTGATTGAACAAACGTGTCAATGAACGAACCGTTTTTTGTTGAAGTAAATAGAATTTCCGGTTTTATAAAAAAAAATTTTGTTTCATATTTTTCTTTCGTAGATAAAAATGTATTTTCAAACGCGTAGATAAAAATGTATTTTCAAACGCGTAGATAAAAATGTATTTTCAAATACGATACAAACGGTTAGAATGTGAGTTTCGGTCAATGTCAATACTCGATTGAAGCTCAGTGCAGCACGCAAGTGTTACGCCGATACGCTACAGAAGCATTATCTGTGTTCTTTGTTTCGTTGAGATCCGCGGTATGAAGAGAACTAGAGAAACTAATGTCCTGGTGCCCTCTTTCAACACTGACAAACTTAGCGTTTCGCGTTCGCGCACCGTCACGTTGCGACACATAAAACTGAGCTAGGTCAAAAAACAAATTTTTTTTCGTATTTCGTCTGGTCTTTTCTCTGTCCCAATCGCAGCGGTACATTCGTACGTACACACAACAGTGCGCACGACCGGAAATAATCAGATGGGGCAATACTACCTCGCTGCTATATTCTCGCCTTTAGGTTTCGTGCGTGCCGTTACATTGTGGATTTCGTCTACTTTTGCGCTTCCCACGTAGTTTCTTTTCATCCGTATTATTCTACTCGTGCAATTTACGTACATTGCGACATTGGACTCGTATCCTCAAATCACTTTTATCAATAAAAGTGAGCTGAGAATATGAGAACCATCATTTGCGATATTTTTTTCGAAATAATAACTCGTTCGCGTTATTTCTATTATAACGCGTAAATGTCCAACCTTATTCTTGCGAGGTTCGCAAGAGAAAAACCAGCAATCTACGATGCTATTTTCCGCGAATTCCCGGATATACTCCGCTGGCGGCTTCCGGTGTAGTCGTTCCGGTCGGCAATTTCCCGGAGGAAGTCGGCCGATTGCCAAACGCATGCCCGTTATAATGCGATTTTTTTCGCGACGTGTCGCTCGCACGATAACGCACGACTTTTTCAAGCTATCATGGCCGGCGATATTTCGGAGAACATCGCGGGACGTATTCGATGACAATTCTACGAAGCTCAAGCCCGTATCAGATTAAGCTATCGGAAATTAAACATTGCGAACGGAAGACTGGACTCGACAAATCGGGACAAAAGAAGCCGCGGAAGTTGATCAATTCTTCTCGAATTTCCATTCGCAATTCTTCAATACCTAATCGGCTGCACGAGGTTAGAAAGCGCCGGCTACTCTGTCGCAGGGCTCGTTCACCAGGTGCTTTTCGGCGCACTCGATTAAATTCTTCGAGAACAGTAAACGCCAATATCGATCGGCAGGACTCACCTGTCAGCCTCTCGCGCAGATGTGTAATCCCGACAGATAGCGAGGAAGAGAGTCGTGTCTCTTTCAATGGCAGCGCCGGTCGATCTTTCGAACGTGACCGCGGTCTTCCTCGACAGAGTGTATCGATGTATCGTGCAGTCGCGCGGAATGAATAGACTCGCTCGGCGCGAGTGGGTCTCCCTCGTAACGGAGGCAACCGTTCACGTCGGCGTGCCTCACGGGTGACTAAATGGAGGACTGGCTGGCGTCTAGCCCGGCTCGTAGATATATCTCCTTATTATTGAATTGGACGAGTCCCGTGGTCTGACATCAGACCATGTAGTGACGGCCAATGGGAGGACGGATTCGGCGGGCGCATGCGCGCGCTGATCCTGTCAGGCGCGCGCGCGCGCGTTTACAAGAGACGACGACGATGACGAGAGAGAAATGTGTGTTGGGACGGACGCTGCAAGCAGGATCGTGTCCACATTGACCCATCGTTCGCGGAACACCGTGACACGTGTCGCGAAGGGATATATGCGTCTGTCACATGCAACCGATCGTTTCTTTCGCTTCTCTCTCCTTTTTTACGCCGAAGTTATCAAGAGAAACGACGACACTCACCGGCTAGGGGGAGGCGTGGTTATAGCGCGGTGTCGCGTGGCGCGATGCATCGGCCTGAACACGTGAGAGACAAATCGATAAATCGCAGCGCCGCGCGGTCACCGGGCGACGAAACTCTCGCGTGATTATTCACCGTCTTCTTTCATGCTGTACATTTCCGAAATATCTATATGTCACTTGATAAATCCGTCCTGAACTAATGCAACAGTTAACCTCTGATTGATTTTCATGCGGAGGAATTGTAGGAGATCAACCAAACGAAAATGGTAGGGCAAATTGAAAGAGACCTTCTGCTCCTTCCGTTCAAGGATTCGAGCTGTTTGTTTATACTCGGTAATTCTGATTTCTTCGAGCTCAAATACCTTTTTGTTAACCGAACTTATCAGCGAGTCAGTAAACGAAAACGAATTTTCGTTAATCGAACTCTAACTTTAACCCTTAGCGCTCCGTTGGCTCCGCTACGGAGACATCAGTCATTTGTTCGGTAACTCCGAAGGCTCCGCTGCGGAGCCGAATGTTTTTAGCATGATTACGCTTAAGATGCTACGTTGTCGTCGGCGTTGGCAATTGTTATCTGTAGTTAAAACGTGCTAGGTCTGTATCATTACGATTAAACCATTTTTTCACCTTTTCTGTGGTTAACAATATGGAGAAAAATAAATATTATAATGAGAATTTATAGCTAAGTGATACTGAAGACGTATTTGACTTTCAAGTGTTAAAAGATATTGTGGAAGATAATGTTGGTTATGATTCTGACGCTTCAAGTAGTGGTAACGAAATTATACTACCAAAAAGACGAAGAATAAGAATTATTGAAAGTGAAACAGAAGATTCGTTACAATATTTAGATGAATGGCGTGATGTTACAGAAGAAAATGAAAGAGAAGATTCGTTACAAGAGTTAGATGAATGGCGTGATGTTACGGAAGAATTAGATATGCCAGATAGAATACCTTTTAGTATATTGCCATAGGTGCTCTAAAAGGAAACAAATAGATGGCAGACCTCAAACAAGTGATTACTGCGACACTTGCCCAAGTAAACCCAGAATGCACATGGGAGATTGTTTCCAAAGATATCACGCCATGGTAAATTACAAAATTTAAAATTTATCTTTTATTTACAATAAGAAAATGCATATTTATAAAATAAATAAAATCAAATGCATTCATAAGGACGTGTAATCTTTTCCGCTCAAAATAAGACTTCCTTTATCTCGGGCGCTCCGCTCCAAAAATGTGCCGGAGTTGCTGGTAGGCAATACTCGAGAAACGCGCGGAGCGCTAAAGGTTAAGCGAACTTTAGTCCGACATTTTAATTTAATCCACAGTTCATATTGCAAAATTTAATGACGGATGATTTAACTTTTAACTTGGATATATGTTGAGTGGTTTTTATGATGAAGATAAAGCAATTTTGTAAGTGATCTTCAAATCGTAATTTAAAATTAAAATTTACATGAAATTTTAAGTCACACGTGATATTTACCCAATTGCGCAAACTAAAGTTCGTAAGCTAAGCAATATTATTTCGCTTTTTGTTTATTCATTAGCATTTTCACTCTATTTTTAGTCGAAGGAAAGAGTCACTTGTGAAACAATTCTTTTTTATGTTGCAAGGAATTATATAGAGACGATGTAAGCAGATAAGATATGAAAAAATCTCTCTTAAAATTAGGAATTATATAACAAATCGTTACAGAAAAAATAATGAAAAAAAGATACGACTCGATAACGTTCATTACGTTTAAAAAGTGTAAGTTCTATACTTATCACTGCAAGGTCCGCATCATTGCAGAAACATTGAAAGTAATAAGTTATACATTCGCATCGCATACATCTGGCTATACTAGGTGTTCCACGTCTTTTAAGAAAAATCTATGGTCGGGCTTTTTGCGATGATAATAAGTTTCTTTATACTGTAACAAGTATATCGCAGAAACTATGTGCAGGCGATATTATTTATATAAAATAATTTTTACTGAATATTATTACAGACGCAGAAGAAATGAGTTATGTAACGTCATTAGTGCACGTGCGTTATCGATTGCAAATGCATTGCGTTCTACTTAGAAGCATATTTAGAAGCATTTTTAACGTCAAAATTGCAATCATGACGAATCGATCGACAAATTTTCCCTCACGAAACATCTATGATAACTTTCATTGTTATATTTGACTTAAGATTTGAAAATGATTCGACACTGTTTATTCAATGTGACTAGTTGTTTCGAGCAGTTGTAACATGCATGTTAAAATTACGTTACCACACGCAAAGATCGATTACTTACTTTGTTTGAGATAAAGTTTACGATCGTCGCGATTATCAATTTTGTAAATTTCTCAGACATATCACGCATCGGATAATTGTTATTTCAATCGAACAAATCGCCAAATTCGATATGTATATTCATCACGCGAGTGTTTCTTATAAAAATGATAATAATATGATTTTTGCGACATATCTGCAACCTCATTTTTTTTACAAAGTACTGAAAATCTTCCACAAAATACGATATTTAACTTTTTCTTCTCGAATCTATCGCACATTCTGCGTTCTTTGATTCATAATTTATCAAATGCAATCTCACATATTTCACTCACGACTTATCGACATACTGAAATTTGTCATATTTTATTCAATTAAATCGTTAATCGTTTAGAATGATCTTTAGAATGATCGCGAATGCGAAGTGAACGAAGAGCGATCGACGCGAGACGACTGACTGCTAAAGATGCTTGTTGAATGCAGAGCGATGTCAGTCAGGGATTTCATTGATGGAACTCTGAATATCACCGGACAACAAATGCGAAATAGTGAGTATACAATTTAAACATACGCAAAGTATCGTATTATATTGCACAATATGTTTTTTGACGCAAATCGCATTGATTTCCATCGAGATAAGTAAGGATGCCTTCACACTGCCACTCGAGACTTTTTTCACAATTTTCGTATTTTGAGACCACTCTTGCACTGAAATCACTTACCAAGTGTTGAAAGACACTTTTTTATATTGCCCTCTTTCCCCAATGCTAGACATATATCTATATTTCTATACGTGCTATATCTACGCAACATGTCAAATCAAGATTTCGTTAGAATAAAAACGTTTTGAGATAATCTAACAGTAACGTTTCATTACGTAGTTTTGTGTTTCGCTTCACAGGATAAATCAGAGTAAAGCGCGCGAATTTGTCAACGAAACGTTTATTTTCTTTGCTAATATACAGACACGAAGAAAAAAAAGGATTAGCTGAATTACAACGTGACAATGAACGAACCAAACGCATTTTCATTGAAGGAAACCGAATTCTAAGGATCAAATTTGGATTCGTAAGAAGAAGAAACTCGGTTTCCTTCGAACGAAAATACGTTTCGTTCGTTCATTGTCACGTCAGGTCAACTAACCTTTATTTCTCCGTGTCAGAACCAAATCAGAAATGAATTGATTGTTGTAAAAAAAATGGATACACTTCCGCACACGTAATTACACGAGAAGAAATAGTTATACGGATGTAACCGCGCAGGTGTGTTGATACACCTGTGCATATATTATTGAGCGGATGCGTCTCGAAGAAAGTGCGGGAGGCGTGAATGATGGTCGAGCTTAACAAGACTTTTGTGGTATCCGTACGAAGCTGAGGGTAAAGGGGGGAGAGAGGGCATCCTGTTTTTAGCTCCGTAGATGCGGCTTTGTGAGCGACGACGATGCAAATTGCAGTTGCGCTAATCAAAACCGACATTGATATCGGCTTAGGGAACAGGTCAGGAACAAGTCTCGCGCGAGCGGCGTCTCTTGCGCGCACGCTACGATATACGCGCCACCGAGATAATCAATCGATTGATTATTCGGTATGGCGCCTCACACGAGCCGTCACGCGATGTACCACGTGAAAACGATTACGAAAACGAAATCGTGCTGATTTTGTGCTTAGTGTGAGCGAAATGTATCGAACGGAGTGAGATGCTCCGTGAACGAAAAAGAGAGAGAAGGAAAAGAAAAGCAATAAAAAAACAAAGGTCACTCGGCGGAGATCTCATTAATTCTACTTGAAAAGTGATGAATAATAATCAAATATTTTCAGCGCAAGAAAGAACACTTTCAAACTTATTCTATGCATTATCATAAAGTTATGCACAAGGATGAACGTTCGCGTACATTACAATGCAGAGATGGAAGTAACACCTTACTTTTAACGTCGTTACGAATTATAATATTTTTATTAACGATGCTTGATAATCTTAATTTTTTCGTTGGCAACGATAACGCTAATATTATACTTTGATAATGATAACGAATATAATCCGTTACCGTTGGTAACGATAATGGTAACTCGAAATTTTTCCTTTGGAAGTGATAACGAATATAATCGTTATTTTCCCCTTTACTTTATGAGCAGCAGTAAAAGAAAAGACTTATCGGGGGGAATAACAAGGATTGTAACGACTCGTAACTTTTCGCATAACGATGGTCGTTTCTTTCCTTTCGAAGTAGATAAGATCGAGTTATTCTTAAAAAATAATTTTTCTTATACACTTAACAAGTAATTAGTCTTGGTACACATTACGTTAGAAATTAAAAAAATTCTTGGTGTGTCTCAGTGGAACACTATTTAATATGTAATGAAATAAGTATTTTTATTGAAAACTAAATATACTATATTTAATATATTGTTTGTATTCAACAAACCTAAGTCAAACAAACATATACACGAAATTCAAGGAAACCTTTCTCTTCATGTATGAAGCATTCCGTCTATTGTGTGGAAGCGAATTCGTCCGCTACTTTGCCTCTTTTTTCTTCTTCTTCGACTCGTTCGCCTCGTTCAATTTCTCGAGCTCTAGTTCGAGAGTTTTCTGTTTCCGTCGGCAGGTCGGTGTCTTTGAAAACCAGGCTGTAATATTTTTTTATTGTATCGTCAGGTGATGTGTTTGCGAAATATTATCAGCATTCATCGAATATTGCATTGTCGCGAACCTAAAAATGCATCCTCCTCCTCGCGATACACCGGGTCTCTGAAACTCAACGCGTTCACCAGCTCGGCATGCGTCAAGGGATGAGTTCGAAGCTGCACCATACGTTTCGTGGTCATCACCTGCGCCGTACGTGAATTAATATTCGAACTGAAAATTGCAAGCGAACAGCGACAGTGTCGAAAAGGGTAATTTCGATACCTCATTGATCGCTTCTAAAATGGAGCCAATTGTAAAACCGTCACACGCTTTCGCCATGGCCGGCGTATCGAATTGCCGATTGATACCCGAATACTGGAAAAAGGGCCACAAGCTAACGACAAGCAGAACGATAAATGTGCATACATTAAAACATCAAATGTGTCACCCGTTATACGTTCTTGTTTTCGGCGCACCACGGCTTTTTTACTCACTTTATACAACAAATCCTTCCATATGAGAGACACGGTGCCGTAGTCCGGTCTAGGAATGTATACGACCTTGTCGTAAGTCTGATACAGGAGTTTCTGATCGCCGTCCCAGGGTTTGTTAGATGTCCCTATAAGCACAACTCGGTCTTCGCCCGTGATGCTCTTCACCAACTTCGGTAGATCTTTCTTCAAACGTTTCGGATCGGTCTTGTCGGTTTTTGGTATTTTTTTCACGAACGGTTTTTCCGCGTCGTCCATGAAGATTACCGACGGCTGCAGCAGCCGTGATACCTTTGGCAATGGGAAAGCTCTTGCATTCTGCACGTGACTCGTATGTGGAAAATCGCTGAGTAGCTAGACATTATACTCAGTAGCCCGATAAATTTAATTCATTATAAAGTAAAGTTGGAATTCAATATTCTCTCTTGTAGGGTAGCCAATCGGTCGACCGTCCGTAATTTTGATCACGAACCTTCGAGATCAGATGGATGAGCATGATCAGTCCTGATTTGCCAGGATATTTGCCGGCGATATTCGCCGGCGTGATGTCGAAAAGCGTGGCACCGAGCTCCGTACAAATCGCGTTCACTAGCAACTTCTTACCGCTGCCGTGCGGGCCAGCAATCAAGACCGATCTCACGACAGGCGTCAATTCTCTCAGGACGTGATCACCCAACGGGAGTACGCAATATTCGGCGATGAGTTGCCTCACGTCTCCTGATGTGCAATTCGATCGATTATGACAGATCAGGGTAAAAATTACTTCTTATCGCGGAGTTATTGAGAGAATCTTCACATCCGTAGATTCGATCGATCTGCAGACGTATCATGAAATCAGGAGGAATCCAATTAAACGAAAATCGAATCGATCTCTTGCTCCGAGACAAATGTGGAATTTGTAATATGTAAGAACGTGGTAAGAATGTGGGAATTTGTAATATGTAAGAACAAATGTCAACCATCGGAGTTTGGATTACAATTTATAAAACATAGTTAGGTGAAGGGTTCGGATGTACCGAGGGTGGGCAGCGGATCCTTTTCCTTCTTACGGAGGTCGTAATTCGCGAACGATTTTTCACCCTTGAACTCGTCGAGCGAGATTTCCCGGTGGAGCTTAATAATACCCTGAGTAAGCAGCTCCTCGAAGAGGGATTCGGTCGTTCTGTCAGGCGTCAGATCCTTCTCCTTTTTCCTCTTGTTCTTCTTGCCGCTCCTGCGTACTCGTTTCTGAAGTTTCTTCGCACGTTTCCCCTTGAAGCCTTTGTCCCTGTCCAACGCTGCCTGAAGTGCTTCTATATCGCCTAATCGCGAAATTGATTAACTAATTTATTTGTTCAGAGAAACAAAACGGTTCGGTCGCGGAACGAAAGCAAGTTGTACAGAAATCAATTTCAAATTGGAAATTAAATATATACATAATTTTTCATTTACCTCTCATCACCTGATCCACGCCCGCCCTGACTTCGTCCTCGACTTCCCTCGTCTTGTCCGCTTCTATCATATCGAGATAAGGTAGCTGCTCGCGATTCCTGGACTCGTCCTTGCCCCTCCAGACCTCCTGGTACTCTTGATTCGCGTGCACCAGTTCCGGCAGAAAGTTGGAGGGAACCGACTTGAATCCTAGATCCGTCTCATCCTCCGACTGCTCCGTCTCGCTGTCTTTCTTCGATTTCGAGCGTTTCGATTTCTTCGAGTCCTTCGACGACACCGCCGTGGACTTGCTCACCGTACTCTCGGTTCCCTGAGGGAAAGGAGTAAATCGATTCCGTAGGAAGTGCGCTTAAACATCGATAAATATTAAAAACGGTGAAATTTCGTATCACTTGTCTACTGAAGATCATTCGCGAGCCGCCGCTCTCAGCGGAAGGTAAATCGGGAATCTTCCCGGTCTGTTGGAAGTAAGTGTCGATCCAATTTCGAATCTCGCTCCTTATGTTCTCCTCCATCACGGCGCTCTTGTCCCTGCGAATTCTCTCCTTAGCCTCGAGTAACAAACTCTCGTATTGCCGCTGAAAATCCAATTGCTTCTCGCGCCTCTGCTGTTTCAATCTTTCCACTTGCCTGGCATTTTCCGTGACCACTTGGCTGGGCTGTAGCATACCTTTAAGAGGTATTTCATTAACGTCTTAGTATGTGCATATGAAAAGGCCGTTTGTTTTTCTTTCTATTTTTAGTGATTATTCCGAAAAGATAAGCGACAATGTCGGAACGATTGTTTATTCCAAGGTTGAAACATGTTTGTTTCCGCGGAATAGATTAAGTCCTCATTTATTCGGTGATACCGGTTCGACTCAGATTTCATTTCCATGCGTTACCTATGAGTAGCATCTCCTCGAGACGTCTCTTGCGAACCCAACGCCTGGTGATATATCCTCTCCATACTTTCTGAATCTTCAGCGCCGCAAGCTTTCCGCTCGTCTCGTCCTCCTCCTCGGCTTCCGGCTTGCTCGATCTCTCCTTCATTTCGCGGATTTCCTTCATAAACTGATATCGAAGCCTGCCCTGTCTCGCTCGCTCGTGGACCTGAAGTTCGGAGTTTACGAGTATGATGTGGAAAGTCGCGTGTATTATTTCATTATAAGTCTCGTACGTATTTCTAGGAATCACGAGTGAGACGTTATTTGGTTCTCACGACACCTGAATAAGTCGTATGGCCTGTGACTCGGTGATCTTCTCTGGCACGTCGGTGTCGCGGAACGCGCCGAGATTTCTCAGCGTCTCCTCCATGAACCTGCGTCTCTCCTCGATTTCGGTGATTCGTTGGCGTCTGAAGTATCTGGGCACGTGGATCTCGGCCTCCTGCGGCATGACGCCGCACTCGATCAACGCGTCGTCGTAATAATTGTGCTCGGCAAGATCGACGTTCACCAGGTCGTGCTTCAGCTCCAGTACCCTGCCGAGGCACGCATTCAGCGACTTTCTGATCAGAAAGCGTTTCTGCGGCTGTATCACCTGGTCGTAGCATCGCTCGAGTTTGTTGCACGCGAGCACGTATCTCACGTACAACGCCGCGACGAGGTCGTGCGCTTTCTTACGGTCCCGCTGGGGCTTCGCACCCTGAAGCACCGTGTCCGTCTGAATCGTCTCGGCAAGCAACGTGTGCGCCTCCATCCAGAGCTCGTCGTACGTCGCACTCGACATCTTCGTTCCTCGAGATTCTCTCCGTGTTCGACAAGGTGCCGATTGTTGGCCACCCCCGAAGGAAGGAGAAGCGATTGTCGGTTGCCGAGCAACCGAGTCGAGCAGCAGACGAACGAGCGCTGAAAATTGCGAGAAGTCACGCGAGTTCAATTAAGCGCTCGTCCGTTTCGTGTATTCCTTCGGTACGTGCAGTAGGTTGAAATGAATGAAACGGAAAGATTCTAACGTGACTCGCAAATCGATCTCCACGCTCGTTCCAGCGTTCGCGGTAGATTGTGGGCGCCAAATAAGCTCTTCGAAACGCCTTCTTACACATTTTAACAACTTAAATTTACAAAGTGATATAGAAAGCTTAAACTACACCTCCCCCCAACCGCTTCTGTAAATTTACATTTCCCATATGTAAATTCTCTCCCATCTCTCTCTCCCTCCCTTCTTTCCGTCCGGTCAATATTGTCCAACCGATACTTATTTCAAGATAACAACACTTAGCTTTTATAACTTGTAAAGTTTGTCTTGCTTGAGTCGTCGGTTTTCTAGTTTGTATGCTGCATAATCTCCTTCATTTTCCGTTTTTGTATGTTTCAGCATCGATATGCAGATAATGCATGTTTTATACGGGTTTTTCATGTTATTTTTTGCTTATTATTTTTCCCGCTGTCTTTCACTCTCCTTTTTTTGCGAGGTAAATTGTTTTGCTTTTTTCCTACAGATAAAAGGCGCCTTACTTTTGCCTTTGCTATCAGCCGTCATATTTGAAGAACTTTACGTTGCGTAATTTCGAGATGTCGTACGTATCGACACGTGCGGCTTTCGATAGTCGCGCGCAATTTTACCGACTATTCCGCGACCAGCGCTGCGTTCTCCAGGCCCCTGTTTCAAAACGTCATCTCGGCTGGGTGTTCGTTCGCGAATATAATTTCTGTAAATAGACAGCCGTGCGACGTCCACCAACCGTGAGTGGTGATGACAAGAAAGTATTCGCAGTAATGGCATCGGCACTGGAGCAATTTGTAAATAACGTTCGGACGCTTTCGAAACAAGGTACGCCGGAGATCCGTAGACATCGTGAAAAACGAGAGACTTAACCTCAACAACAAAGAACGGCGTGAGACGCTCTTTGTTGCGAGGCACCTTTCCTCGTCAGTAGAATCTCTTTCTTAAGTCTCGATTCGCATCGTACCTGATATAAATAATGAATTCTTATCTGAGGTGATACGTATATCTACACGTGTGTGCGTACATATATGTATAATGAGAGGATTAAACATTTATTTATTAAATCTCATCAATTGCTCTCGCAGGCAATTTCAGAGAATTATGCGAGGTCATAAGCAAGAGCGCAGAAGTGTTAACGAAGCACGGACAACACTTGGATAATGTTTTGGAAACGTTAGATCTGCAACAACACTCGTTGGGCATCTTGGCGGTGCTCTGTGCAAAATTTTCACTACCCAATCCTAACGGTGGGAATAACTCAGATGCAAATAAATCATTATTCAACCAGGTTCAGGAATTTATTATAGGATGCAATGGAGAGCAAGTTAGACTTGCTCCAGATACATGTAAGTGTGAGAATTCTTTTTCTACAATTTTGGATCAATACCTTAGTTGCCTTCTCGTTATCTGAATTAATGACATTTCTATTGCAGTTAAATATGTTTTGTGAAAAATTCTGACATTATAGGTATTAGGCTTTGTGCAAACAAGATCCTTGTGTGTAATGTTGATTTAATGCGATCGCACTTGTCACTATATGTAATGTCGCTACACATATACTGTTAATAAATTATATTCACAGATGCAGAATTATGTCACCTGCTTACGCAAAGTCTGGTGGAATTGAAAACTCCATTGCGCGGGATTGAATTATTGCGTCGCGCGATACGCAAGATACAGCTGTTCGACAGCCAATTGACTTCGATACATGCCGATCTTTGCCAACTATGCCTTTTATCGAAATGCATGAAGCCGGCGCTCGAATTCCTCGACATAGACATCACGGGCATTAGCCAGGAGGGCGGCCAGTTCGACTCCAAATATTTTTTACTGTATTATTATTACGGCGGCATGATATATACAGCTCTGAAGAATTACGACCGGGCATTGTACTTCTTCGAGGTGTGCGTGACGACGCCCGCGATGGCCGTCAGCTACATTATGCTGGAGGCTTACAAAAAGTACATCCTGGTTTCTCTGATATTGCACGGAAAGGTGTTGAACCTGCCAAGGTACACCAGCCAAGTAATCAACAGATACATTAAGCCGTTGAGCCAGCAGTATCAGGAACTAGCCGCAGCCTATTCGGTCAACAGCTGCGACGAAGTGCAGAATATCATCACCAAGTATCAACAGTTATTTGTCAGGGATCATAACCTAGGACTTGTGAAACAGGTGCTCGCTTACTTGTACAAGAAAAACATACAGAGGCTGACGAAAACGTTCCTGACGCTTAGTTTAAGTGATGTTGCGAGTAGAGTTCAATTGTCGGGACCTGCTGATGCGGAGAATTATATCTTAAACATGGTGAGTTTTCATGTCGTGTGTGTGTGTGTGTGTGTGTGTGTGCGCGAAAAAAGAAAATCTTCGCTATAGTACTCAAGAATCGAGTGAAGGATAAGGATTTTGTTACTTATTCATAATCCCGAAACTTGATTCTCGACAATCGCAGAAGTTTGTAACGTTTATATTATATACGACCGGCATGGGTGAAATCAGCGTTCAACCCTCGATTTCTGCGTGCTTTTAGATCGAGGATGGCGAAATATTCGCAACTATTAATCAGAAAGACGGCATGGTGGTGTTTCACGACGACCCCGAGAAGTATAACTCGCCTCAAATGCTAGCGAACTTCGAGAAGGAGATGGCGGCGTGCACGGAACTGGACAAGCGAGTGCAAGAGATGGAAGAGGAGGTTGTCCTTACACCACAATACGTTCGCAAAGCGTGCGGACAGAACGATCAGGACGACCAAGCTGCCGGACCTACACCAACGAACGTTACGAATGCGCAAGGTCAAACTAAACACAATACCTATTCTATGTAACATATACATGTCGTTGTGCGTTATCTTTATTAAAAAAGAACAACAAAAGGAAAAAAAAATGAGTCGTCATGGAGAACCTTGTTGAAAATCGGGATTTCAACATCTGAAAGCCTGTTCCGGACGATTACGGCAGCATGACGAGCGCGAGACTCCTCGCGTTGTCTTCGTTTTGTAGGAATTCTCACTAATGAGAATCACGCTGGTAAATACGCGAGACGTATTGCTAAAGTCGACAATACGTCCGTAGCAGGCTTTGTTATCAAAGTTACCGACGAATTATGTACATGTTATAGGCATGGTGATTAATATATTGCGATATTTCGTTACAGGCTACACGTTTTAGAGAATTGAGAAACATACGTCGATGCGAACTATCAACTGCGTACTTGCAACACCGTTTCTCGCACGCGTTTCAAATCTTAGTCTTTTTTTTATGTTAAGTATCTTACTGTTTTTGGAAATAGAAACACACTACTTCAGACATGATAATTTTAAATTTTATACATACACACGTATACACATAGATGCGGAATAATCAACAAACACCGTATAAATATGAAACGTTAATAACAATTTTTATTCAAGTTATCGATGAAAAAACAGCTACGAAAGGACAGGCTTACAAGTTAATGCAACTTTTTTACTCTGGCGTCATTAACGATTAATAATTTATAAAACTGAAACTCCCTTTGAAACCTTCTTCTTGTAATTTTCAGGAATGTATAAAAGAAATCTTCGTTCGTGCTTATGACAAGTTTGTTAATCCAAGCTCAGTTGTCATAAAGATAAATTGAGGCATCTCTATGATAACAATTGACTGATTTCCTTCGAGATCGTCTCGTAAGTTTCTTTCGTGTCATTAGATCCATCAATGAACGTTATAGTCGCGCGTAACTCGGTGTCTCGCGTAATTTCACTCTCGTATTCCATGTACTCGGGCCACACCACTTTGTCGAAATATCCCGGCACATCGGGCGGGTCGTACGCACGATCTTTCCTCCGTCCCCAACATTGCTCCTTCGTCAACGTCAAGAAGTACTTGCGATCACACAAATCCGTAAGAGCCTTGTGCCGGAACAACAAAAAGCCATCCAGTATCAGCATACTTTTTTCCGAGCGCGCTGCGTCTTTCGATTCGAGTATCCTCAGAACGTCGGAATGCATCCTCGGCATATCCAAGCTCGTCATCAAATCCCAGTTCAAATGATTCAATTCCGTCACTTTGACATGACGCGGATCGTCCGGCGGCAAGAAGTAGTCGTCCTGACGCACCATGACAGATCCCGGGAAGTTATCGCGAATTTTACGAGCCAGCGTGGTCTTTCCGCTGCAGGTCGCACCGGATATTCCAACGACGAACCACCGATTCGTTGTTGCCATTTTTATTTAGTGAAAAACAAACGAAACAACGAGCAAAATCGTTATGTAACCGATACTTATCACACACAGAGCTTAAGCTTACGCGGTTTATATCACGAATCGTAGCTACACGCGTGAATTGTGCAAACACGATACAACGATAACGTGGCCCGCTAACGTCTTTCACATGTAACCCGGAAATTGCTGTTTAAATTGCTATTCCACTTTCTCTGTCTTTCTCACAGACATGTACGGTCTCACATGGTACACGGTAAAGAGCACTAGGCCGCCGATGAAAATTAGACCTAAAGTCGCGGGAACCGTCAGAGCTAGATCGTACGAGTAAAAGAGAGATCGCAATCTATCGTCGTCGATAAACGGCAAGCCAATTACCCAAACGGTATAATAAAGGAACAGGACAAGTGTCAATATCAATACCGCTTTTCCCCTTTGGCAGTCACTACTGAACATTGCTGATGTTTTATAACTCTATTAATTTGTCATGTTGTCTCTATAATCCGACGTTAATTACTTTATATATTCTTGTTCGAACTTCTTGAAATCTTCTTCTGTGAAAGCTGTTTCCTTTGGCTTATTGAGTTTATCCTTCGATTTTTCTTTCCTCTTCATTTGTTTCTTTACAGCACGTTGCAACAGCTAAAAAAGATCAGTTTATTCTCAAAATTATTTAGGAAACTTTAAAGAGGAATATATATATATATATAATTTTTTTTGGTACTGTATTGCTTGTATATTGTGTATCTACCATCAAGCTTACAAAATCTTATCTGTTTTACAGTTTGCATTATTTTTCTATGTTAATTTAATGTTAATTATCCATTAACATGATATAAGCAGAAAATAATATGTATAATAAATACAAGCAATACAGGGTTAACAAATTCATAAGATACTTTGCATACTTTGTTCGACATTTCAGAACTTAATTGATTAGTTTTAAGTGAAAGAAGTTGTTGAACATTTTCCTCAGTAGGATCTTTCTGAGATGCTAGATGTTTCTTAACTTCCTCAACGGTAACTCTGTTGGATCTGCCCAAGATAGCATTAATAGCTGTCCAAAAGAAAAAAAGATTATATTTTAGGCTTCCATTGTGTGAAGAAACACTTATTTTGTATTTTGAGTTAATGTAACATCCTTCATAGATTTATTTCCAAAATAAAAAAATAGGAACAAATCTATGAAGGATGCAGCATTAACCTAAAAGCCAAATTAAACAAAAGTTTATAATTTATAATGCTTTTAAAGATAATTATATAAATCACTTCTACAAATATTCCAAAGTGATAGTTAAGGCTTTTTATAAAGTAATATTAAGACAATTATATATACTAATTTGTATACAACAATCTGTGTATATATATATATATAAGGCTTAGATGACTCATATTAACCTGCTTTGTCTTCTTTGGAAGTAAACCTATATTTAGCAGGAATGAGTTCTAAAGCACCCGCATACAGAGCATCTTTACGTTTCTTTTTCTTCTGTTTCTTACCTACAAATTGTTACTTTATTGAAACATATTTTACTATAAACTTGTCGACACATAAATATGCACGTGATACAGTAAACTAACCTGGGTGCAGACCTGACTCGTTAGGTTCCGCAAATAATTTCAAACTTTTACGCAAGAGTGACTTAGACATTGCGTGCGTGCGAGTAGACAACGCATCGATTTACCACGCTAGAGATCCCGGCAGAACTAAACATTGTAGGTCCCGTATGCATGTATATAATCTGTGTGCGCACCATAGGACATATGAAAGAGAGAGATAGGCCTAGACTCGATATGGGCTGGAGCGCCATTGGATGGATGGATTTAGACATTCCTCTAAAATAACGATTATTGAAGTTATTTACAATTTAATTCTTACAATGCACTTTGCTGTTACGTGAATTTTTATTCTATCACGAAATAACATTATCGTCGGTTGTTTCGAAACAGTCTCATCCTGCCAATGTGTTAGACAAAATTGGTCTGTTCTTTTTAGCTAAACTGGTTGCACTAGTCACAATTATAAATCCGGCTTATACATAAAGTGCTATTTCATGTGTCGTATGATAATTTTATCAGATGTGCCAATTGGCTTTCGGATAAAGAATTTCTAGGGTGTCCAGAGAAAGTGTTAGAGAAAACCAATCGACACATCCGATAATATGACGATAATATTTTGTAGTCAATAAAATGAGCCGCACAGCATTTGAAAATAAACTCAATACGGTCTTAAATATAAAATCCGACTATCAACATTGGCCAAAGGAATACTTGCTCTTTCTATGTTGATTAAATTCTACTCTATCCGTCGAGTAGAATTTCTGAACGCACTCATTGAAGACAGTGATTAATAGTCCGATTCTGTAACTTTTAACAACGTTATCATTACGGTATCGTTGCGCAACTTTCCTGCCAAAAATTATATCTGCAATGACGACGCAACGATAACGACATTATCATTAACAGTTGTAGAATCAAGACCTAACTATTAAAAAGTCACGGATCTAACCGGTTGCTTCAGAGTTCGGCCTCTACTTATTTAAACTTAGGCGCTGTTATCAGCTTTAGTCAGCTGATATCGCTGATATGTGACGGGTATCAACGAACATGGCGGAATCCGCGAATAATTCGGATGATGACCGACTCTCGTGTAAAATCTTGATTATCGGTGCTGGTATGGCCGGATTGTCGGCGGCGAATCATCTGCTGAAGAACAACGAGACGGATTTTCTTATTGTCGAGGCGCGCGGACGGATAGGTGGACGAATTGTTGCTGCGCAAGTCGGTACGATCAACGTAACCTCTCTTTTATCTTGTCAGAGCGTTTATTTTCATTGGCAAGTTTAATCAACATTACGGTACGATGTTGTAATGACGAATCTTATAATTACAGCGATAATACATTAGGATATTTAGAATGATCATTTGTCCGTTTAACTCTTGAATATGTACAAATCGTGGAAATGTCTGCGATGACATAAGATTTGAGTAAATGCCCCAGGTTGGCGCTATCGAGAAGGATACGAGTTTAGTTATCGGAAATGGTTCGATATTGTTTCTGTATAGCGTTCTTTTAAAACTGGACACTTCGCAAAATATTCCACACTTGTACGAATCGTTGTTCCCTTGTCTGTTCTTCATTCGAGAAGAGCGTTCTTTTAAAACTGGACACTTCGCAAAATATTCCACACTTTACATGTACGAATCGTTGTTCCCTTGTCTTCATTCAGGCAACGAGAAAGTTGAATTAGGGGCAAACTGGATCCACGGTGTGTTGGGAAATCCAATGTTCGAGCTGGCAATGGCAAACGGCTTGATAGACATCGTACGTGTGCCGAAACCTCATAAAGTAGTGGCGGCATTGGAGGATGGAAAGCAGTTGCCGTTTCCAGTATTGCGTGAAATCTACGAGGCTTACGTGTGTTTTCTGAGGCGATGCGAGGAATACTTCCTGAGTTCGTACAGTCCGCCGGACGGAATAAGCAGTGTAGGAGCGCACATCGCCTTAGAAGCTGAAATATACTTGTCGTCTTTGCCGCCTGAACAGAGAAGAGTGAGGCAATTGATATTCGACTGCCTGCTCAAGAGAGAAACCTGTGTCACGGGTTGCGACACCATGGACGAGGTGGATCTCTTGGAGATGGGTTCCTATGACGAGCTCCAAGGCGGTAACATTAGTCTTCCAGACGGGTACAGCGCTATATTGGAGCCAGTTGCGAAGCACGTACCGAAGAATCGCATTCTTACCAAGCACGCTGTGACAAAGATCAGGTGAGTCTTTAACGATTGGTCCTGCCACGAATCCGATTGTACCGATGTGCGTGTTGATTTATACGCTGAGTTCGACTGGAATACGTACGTGATTTATTTTATTAACACATACCACTGATCGATGAAACTTGAGGACGAAAATTGTGTGATCGAAAATTGCGTAGAGGGGAATCAGACGCAGACGTGGCGAGCTCGAAAGAAAGAAAGTAATTTGGGATGCCCTATTCCCTCCTCACGTTTTCAGGTGGCAGAAACAGAAGCGTTCCAGCGTCAGCGCCGGCTCTACGGAGGAGCTCGAGTCCAACGTGGACGGCCTCGTGGAAGTACAATGTGAGAACGGACGGACGATCAGCGCGCAACACGTGGTTTGTACGTTGCCGTTGGGCGTTTTAAAAAGGACAGCTCAGGACATGTTCGAACCGTCGTTACCCGCTCACAAACTCGAGGCGATAGACAGACTGATGTTTGGTACAGTGGACAAGATATTCCTCGAGTACGACCGACCTTTCCTAAACCCCGGTGTGTCGGAAGTGATGCTCCTCTGGGACGACAGCCGACTGTCCGAGGTCGAGAGGGGTGACATCGGCAAGACTTGGTTCAGGAAGATATACTCGTTCACCAAGATCACGGACACGTTGCTGCTCGGCTGGATATCCGGTCGCGCAGCCGAGCACATGGAGAATCTGAGCACGACGGAAGTGGCGGAAGTGTGCACAACGATTTTGCGGCGATTCCTCAACGACCCGTTCGTGCCGAATCCGAAAAACTGCCTGCGCACCTCGTGGAACTCGCAGCCGTACACGCGAGGTTCCTACACCGCGATGGCCATCGGCGCTAGCCAATTGGACATCAGGAGCTTAGCCCAACCTCTGGTGCGGGAGTGGACGGAGGAGGACGGCTCGAAAGACGAAGCGAATAGGGTTGTGATAGCGTTCGCTGGCGAACACACCCATTCCTCGTTTTACAGCACGGTGCACGGCGCGTACTTGACCGGTCGCACCGCCGCCGAGCTGCTGTTGGACGCCAAGCCGGGCGAGAAGCAGGCGCTGAGCCTCAGTTGCGAAGAGACCAGCGACCTCAGCTCGTGGATACAAGGCATCTCCTTGAATTAATGCGCACTCTCTCCTCCTCCCTCGCTGAGAAACCAACATACGTTCAAGCGGCTAGGCCTTACTCGTGGACGTTTATAGACCCGTTGTATTTTTAGCGGCTATACATGCGCGCGACTTTACATTTTTCGTTCTGTAAATATATATTCATGTAGCGAGCCACACATACGCAATGTCGTGTATATAACGGTGCTTTTGGAAACTTGAAGACATTCGCGTGCACACGGCGAGCAATGGCGTGCATTTATTATCGTGCTGTTTTTACACACGTGCAATTTCGTTCCGTTGACGAGTCAAGGTGGTAAGATTGCGACACCGAGACGTGTCTGACGGGCTGTCACAGATATCACAGATGTAATCGACGGGAGACGCTTCGCTGTGAACATTAAAATACGGGGACTCAAGCTTGAGTGTGAAGAGGAATAGCGAAATTAGATTTTAATTGATATTATTTTTTAATCGTTAACATTTACACAATCACTGAAAAATGATCACTTATTGACCGAGACACGTCGACGTCTGGTTTTTATCGAGTAATTTAATATCGTTTACTGCCATGTATTACGATGTTGTGCACCGATCGTTACTCTTATTTGTCGTTTCTTTTTTACATTTGGCGGCGCTTACGTTTCAGCAACGTTTCCTCTAGAGACGCAGGGTGAGACCGGCCGGAAAATGACGGCGAACATTTTTTACATGTTCACCCAAGCGTTTATTTTATAAACTCCGGACGAATTTAGTACAATGTTATTCGCTAAACGGATGTAGATAAATATGTTAAGTCCAGTCGTATCCGAAGCTAGCCTAAACAATTTTTCAATATTCGCGCGTGATATTTCTAACGACTGCTCTTTACGTAAGCGATATCT